TATAACCAACAGACCAGATGCGAATACCCTTGCTATGCATGATATTATTAGCTCTCTTCCGAACCATGAGAGTTAGCTCGAAGAGCAAGGATACATCTCGTCTGGTTCGGGTATTTCACCGGCTGCTAATGTAGCTGGAGTGAAACCGAAAAAAAAATCAGGTTTCCAAAATCAGCAAAAACAATCTCAAAATACCTACGGCCGTGGTAAAGGTCGAGGGAGAGGTCAACAACAAAATTTTTTATAATTTTAATCCACAACAAATTTACAATCAACACCAATTCTCCAATGGTGGACAAGGTAAGGCACCTCCGATTATTTGTCAGATCTACAATAGACCAGGACATGGTGCGCTTACCTACAGGAAGGCGAAATATATTTTTGCAAATAATAATGACCAAAATTACAAACCCGCCGCCTACAACAGCCATACTACGCCTTCATACAACAGTGCTAATTCATCGTTTGATCCAACATGGTATCCGGATTCAGGCGCGACACGTCACATGACATTCGACGCTGATAACATCCAAAATCGGTCAGAGTATCTGGGTTTGGGTCAGGTCAGAGTGGGTAACGACCAAGGTTTACAAATAAAACATACTGGTTCCTCGTCTCTTCTCTTTAATCAGCATGCCTTCACATTGACTGATATCTGTCATGTTCCTACAATCTGCAAGAATTTATTATCTATTAGTAAGTTTACAAAGGACAACGATATATTCTTTGAGTTTCACCGTGACTGTTGCTTTGTGAATGACTATATGGGGAAAATCCTGTTTCGAGGAGTCAGTAGAGAAGGATTGTACTGCTTCCCATCAACAACAGCCATTTCACACAGCTCGACAATTGGACCGTCTGCTCTTGTTGGTGAACGGACAAACCTTCAGGGTTGGCATCAGCGTCTTGGTTATGCAGCACTTTGTACCGTCTAGCAAATCATCTCTTAGTATGGTTTACCGTATTCTAGTCAAAATTCTAGTTTATTTGTTTGTGAATCTTGTCAAATGGGTAAGAGTCATCATTTGTCTTTGCCTTCGTCTTCATTTAGGTCTCAGAGTCTGTTGGAACTAATTTTTTCTGATGTGTAGGGTCCTTCCTTAATTAAGTCTAATAAAGGGTATTCTTATTATGTGTTATTTCTTGATGATTATTCTAAATTTTCTTGGATATATCCCTTAGCACGAAAATCTGATGTTTTTTAGGCATTTTTAAAATTTAAGTGGCATGTTGAACTATTTTTCAACTCCAAAATTCGTGCTTTCTAATCTGATTGGGGAGGGGAGTATCACAAGCTCTCTTCCTATCTTGATTCGTAGGGTATCCCCCATCGGTTGTCCTGTCCGCACACACATGAGCAGAACGGTACAGTTGAGAGAAAACATCACCACATTATTGAATCCACCCTTGCTCTACTGGCTACCTCCAAACCTTGCGAGGTTCATCTCATTTTCAGATGTTGTTTCAGAAGAACCCTGACTACTCTATGTTACGGTGTTTTGGATGCGCCTGTTATCCTCTCCTGCGGCCATATAATGCTCACAAGTTTCAATACCATTCGTTGCAGTGCATTTTTCTAGGTTACAGTCATTCTCATAAAGGATACAAATGCTTCCACCCATCAACAGGTAAAGAGTTTATTGCACGCCATGTAGTGTTCGATGAGGATATCTTTCCTGTTGTCCCTCCATCTCCATCTCCATCTCCATCTCCATCTCCATCTCCATCTCCATCTCCATCTCCATCTCCATCTCCATCTCCATCATCCACTTCTGGTGCTCCCCCCCCGGTTTCTATCTACATGTTTCCCCTCAACTTCAGGGATCTCCTTCTACAATTCAGCCACCTTCTATAGCGCCTCTACCAGAAAGCTCTCCTTCCAGTTCAGATGCACATACTTCTCCAGTTGAAGCTTCTGTCCGTAGACAACCTCGCTTTCATATGATGGAGGAGTTGTTGGCTACCACACCGGCTGTTCCACCACCCACCCGATAGCATTCTATGACTACACGTTCCATGGATGGCACTCTCCCTATTCGATTCCATCTAACCACGAGATGCCCTATACCAACCGCATTGCTTAGCTCTCTTTCTTCTGAAATGGAGCCTCGTTCCTATATCGAACAGCCAAATCTTCGCATTGGAGATCGGCCATGCAGCTAGAGTTCGGTGCCCTCTTGAAGAATCACACATGGGATCTTGTGCCTTATCATCCGTCCATGAACATTGTAGGTATTAAGTGGGTCTATAAAATTAAACGGAAGTCAGACGGCTCTCTAGAGTGATACAAGGCCAGACTTGTCGCTCAAGGTTTTCATCAGGTACCAGGCATTGACTTTACTGACACTTTTAGTCCAATAGTAAAACTAGTCACAGTTCGCACCATTCTGGCTATTGCCACTGCTCACTGCTGGTATGTTCAGCAACTGGACATTAACAATGCATTTCTTCATGGCCTCATTGCTGAAGACATTTATGTTCGTCAACCCAAGGGGTTCGAACATCCAGATTACCTAGATTATGTGTGCAAGCTGAAGAAGGCCCTGTACGAATTAAAGCAAGCCCCTCATGCCTGGTATTCTCGCCTGATTTCCACTTTACTTACTTTGGGCTTTCGGAATTATGTTGCTGATCCCTCATTGTTTATCTACAAGAGTAAGTCCATTACTATGTACATCTTGGTGTATGTTGATGATATCATAGTTACTGGCAACTCTCTCTGCTATTTCTTCCCTGCTTTAACAAATTTTAGTAGTGTTTCCTGTCAAGGACCTCGGCCCATTGCATTATTTTCTTTGAATCGAGGCACAATGGACCTATGACGGCCTCCACCTCTCTTAGAAATGGTATATTCTAGACTTGTTGCATCGTACCAAATTTGATGGAGCCAATCCCTGCAGTTCTCCGATGGCAGTATCTACTCGACTACGCAGAACATCAGGGACACCTCTTTCTGGCCCTACTGAATACAGGAGCGTTGTTGGTGCACTTTAGTACGTTACCTTAACCAGACCGAATATCTCCTTCTTCGTCAACAAGGTTTGCCAATTTCTTCAGACACCAGCTGACGAGCATTGGTCTACTGTGAAACGCATCCTACATTATCTCAAGTGTACACTTGATCATAGTCTTCATTTTGGTTCCTCCTCTACCTCTCTTCTGCTGAATGCCTTCACGGATGTTGATTGGACCAGCTGTCCGGATGATTGGCGGATTACAGGAGGATTTGTTGTTTATTTAGGTTGTCACCTCATCAGTTGGAGCTCAAGAAAACAACATATTGTGGCTCATTCCAATATGGAATCTGAATTCCGATCTCTTGCCAATACTGTCATTGAAGTTCTATGGGTTCAATCTCTCTTAACCGATCTGGGTTTTCTTGTTTTAAAGCCTACAGTGTGGTGTGACAATCTCAGTGCTACCTATTTTGCGGCACATCCCGTCTTTCACGCACGAACCAAGCATGTGGAAGTAGACTTTCACTTCCTACGGGATCTCTGCATGGCTAACAAACTATCCATCCGTTACATTTGTTCTGAAGACCAAATAGCTGATGTTTTCACCAAACCTCTAGCCACACCTTGGTTCAATCTTCTACGGTCCAAACTTCACATCCGGCCGTTCAGTTTGAGGGGGCATATTGGAGATAAACCTAACCGAACCAGATCTAATCTGGACTCTAGTAGGCTTAACCAATCTAGATTTAATTTGGACTTTGATAAGGACTCTGAGATAGATAAGGATAAGACTAGATCAACATGGTTTGACGAATGGTTTTGTGGGTGGTTTTGCCATGTTGGGGAGTTTGTTTGCGATGGTTTTACTTTGAGCAACAAAAGCTTAAAATGTATTAAGAAGTTTTCTTCTGGGTTTTCACTTTTCAGCATTCTTTTTCTTTCTTCCATATTTACATGTAGTTAGCTATCATTTATTAGAGAAACCTGGGTTTTTCATTTATGTATGCAAGGTTTGCAACTTTGGTATAATAGAAGTAAAACGGCAATTCTGTGTTTTGTGTACCTCTCTCTATGACTGAGAAACCACCATTAAGATAACAAAATACAGGGCTTCAAATCTACCTTCTTATACATTAACTCATAAAGCAATCAAAATCTAGTTGCAAGTCGAGAGCAATCCTTTGTCTGGCGCTCACACTTGTTGGTGGGAATTATCACCTTTCAAAATTAATAGAGTACCCCACCTTGTACATTGCATGAGTCATGGGGTTTTGATCCAACGGTGGGTTGCTGGAAAATAGGTCCTTTTTCTAGTGAGAGGGAAGAAATGGAAGAGGGGCGGTGAGTTGCATACAAGAGAGAGGGAAGAAGAAGTGGAAGTGTGGATCTAGAGCGGGTGGGAGTGGGATTGGGAGAGGGAGAAACGAAAAAGGTTGTACTCGGATTTCTTACTTACTTTTCCTATCCACTCTCTGTCCGCCATGAATAGGAGTCATACATCTCTATTATGAATTGATAGATGTGTAGTTGCAATTCGACGGGTAATAGAAAAAGTGAGTAGGAAATCTGGACTCTAATAGATTTACAAAATTTAAATTGTTTCTGAATTTAGACTCCAGATTTTATACAAACTTTTCCTAGCCACCGTAAATCGGAGCCACACATCTCTTAATTCGTAATAGAGATGTGTGGCTCTAGTTCACGGCGGATAGAGAGTGGATATGAAATCCCGACTGCTAAGACTGCCGTTAGCCGCCGGAAAGAGGGGAGGGTGGAAGGGACAGACGATGCGAGCTCCCTACGGTGGATATTCTTGGCTTTATTTATGTACGATGCAGTTTACATCGTTGGCCTGGAGAAAGAAAAAATCTCAATATTATTTGTCCCTATTATTAAAAATGAAACTTAGGCGTCTACTAGTAATGCTGCTGGGCCAATCACACTACAGCACGTCAGCTCCATAAATGTGTCAAGTTGACGTGGCACACCATGATTGGTCCATAGAGTGTGTTGGAGTCAAAACAAGTCGTCCGCTATTACTAGCTAGGCACCATAAAAGAAAGGAAAACCTGTAGACCGGAGCCAATCATCAGCTCCATGTAAGAACTCCCCCACCGTAAAACGCCGAACTATTTCTTCGCTGCAGTTGCTCTTGTACCCACTCCACGTAACACGTCGTCGGGTGTCTGACCCCGGACCCGTGTTCATGTACTCTACGTATTCCACCGTGTCCAGTCTGCTATACTCGTCCCACTGGTACCAGCCTTGTGGGTGTATGAGCTCCCCCAAGTAACTCTTCATCACCACCGTCCTGGAATAGTTCCTCCACGGCCGACCCAAGAACGTTGAAAAGCTGCCTAACCCCACCGACCTGAGCTCCGGTGCAGCCATTATTGTGCAATTCTGCAACGATATGCCCGTGTTCTGATTTGGGTCATCTCTTCCTTGTGCAGTTATCATGTTCTTCTGGCCCGGGATCGGTTTGCGCACCAGGATCAGGCAGTTCTGGAATATTGCCGCTGCATTTCCGAATATGAAATCAATTGTGCCTTGGATCGTGCACTCTCGGTACAACTGACGGAATGAATGAGCGTAAAGGGTGTCCTGATAGGAGATGAAGTTGCACCGGTAGAATGCAGAATTGGAGGCCACTCGGAGGGCAACTGCTTGGCGCTTTTCCCGACTAGATGTATTGATGATGGTCAGGTCCCTGGCTAAGAACCTGTCTCCAATCACAGCTGCAGAGATATTTCAAATTACAGTCAAGGCCTACCTGTTATTTTCATCGAATGATGAGACAAAATGAAAACATATGCATGGAGATCGATTCAGAAAAACACATCGTACTTAAAGTAGCAGAATTGAAGGTAGAGAATCCATCGACGAAGTTCCTACTCCCGGAGATAACCGTCGAATTCATCCCCTCTCCAATCAGCATGATATTTGTCTTGCTTCTTGGGATCTCTACATTCTCCTTGTATACTCCCGTCTTTATCTTAATCATAAACCTAGAACGGCTCATCCTTGGCGCCATCCTCACTGCCTCGCCGATTGTGCGATAATCTCCGCTACCATCAGTGGCAACAATGAGGTTCGGTCTTATCTGCGCTGCCACATCCGTAAGTTTCCTATCGCTGGCGGTCATCCACTTCGGGAACACGTCTGGGTGCATTTCAGGATATTGAATCTTTTGGGTAGAGACCATGTCGTCCCGGCTGATGCTCTCAATGAGCTTGACCATCGCCAAACAATTGCTGATCATTCGATATATGGGAGCCAACAATCCATGAAGGTGTTCTTTAAGACCCTTCTGGCTTTCTGGGTCGGCTTCTTCAACGTCAGAGAATCCATCGATACATGTGTTCTCATTGGTCATGGCCGCGCTCAATAGGGTCTTGAGGTTACTGTACAATCTACCATGGAAGCCTACTGATGCCGAGGAGAAATAGCGTAGGTCTTGGAGAGCTTGAGCTTGTTGGAGCTCGTATTGTGTCTGATCGAGCATCTCCAGACAATCTTGTAGAGCATTCCTTTCTTGTGGGTTCAAATCTTGACGGGTGAGAAGACCCATGATATGGGTTTGTGAAATATTGACAGAGTTGAAGGTCAGATTGATAGCGATGACGAGGATGTGTCGTGGATGGGTGGCATTTTTGGAGGAAGGAATGGAAGAGAGAGTGGAGAAACAAAGGGAAGGATAGAGGGTCTTGGCGCAGGTGTTCTTGAGAACTGGGTGTGAGGATGGAATTGCAGAGGCAGTCAATCCCTTGTGGCGGCGAGGCAATTCTCTGACAAATGCAGCAAAGAAGAGAGTCACAAGGACAATAAAGACGATGAGTGGGATCGTCTTCTCTCGATTTATGGTTGCAGGTTTTGAAGAATTCTTGGAGATTTTATCAGTGTTCTTGTTGATGACGACGGACTCCATTTCCTTTCATTAAAAATTAAGAAAAACAAACAAGAGACAGAAGTAAAACAATTTCAGCATTCACAAACTGAAGTATGCGATTTATTAACATTGACCATACTAAAAACTTCATTATGAAGTAAGCATATAATAAGAAATTAATTGCCGTACGCCCGTACCACATTTTTTTAGTATAAATAAGAGGAGCTATACAAGTCACAAGACGACACGACGGAGGTAGCTCCGCCCCATAAATCACCTCTGCATAGAAAGTAAAGACTCGGGATCACCTGCCAACAAAATGGTTCCAACACTACCCTATCAGGTATCAACTACGAAATCGGCTTCCAATTGGGTGTTCGAACAGCCTTTAGGGCCTTCATCCGGAATATCTCCCAGTGAGGATCAAAATTGACCACAAGGGCAATGATGAAAAGTTGCTGGGGTAGAGTGTCACCTCCTCTTGGAGTGTCACCTCGGCTCAGCACTTTGACTAATAAGAGAGACCGGCAACCATAAGAGATGTTAGAGGCCCCGGGTGATCCCAAGGGAGTGAAATCCTACGGTTAAGTCAATAATCGCCAAGGAAAAATAAAGTAAGTTAGAGAGCTTGTGTAGAGAGATAGAGGATTCGTGATGAGAGTTAGACAGGTCTATGTGCTTACATGGGAGCTAGAGAGCTTGTAAGGAGAGCTGGTGAGCTTCGCGAGATGAGTTGATGAACTCATAGGGAGAGCTTGAAAGCTCTATATGTGCCGAGGTGTTCAACGTGCCTTGTTCATAGTAGTGCACTACCATGTTCAGTTGTCCAAATGAATGGGGGATTCACCTATTTATAGGAGAGGGGCTTTGTCCGAGAACTGACACGCCTCTCACATATGGTCGGAGCTCAGTCTACTTGTCGCACCCTCAATTGACACATTGTGTGCACGTGGTAGGCAGTGGGCCTGCATGAAGTGCACTAACATTGATGTTCTAATCAGCTCAGTCACGTGTTGCTTGTACATATTATGAGTTGGTGTCAGATCAGCTTGTCAGGACCAGGTCAGCTCGCCAAGACAGGTTAGCTCGCCAATTGACAACTTTGCCCCCTCTAGCATGCTGCCACTTGGTAGTTTTTAACTGGTGGTTGATTTTGGCCTTATCATATCCATACTTTTGTGCTTTATTTCATGGGGAGATATTCCCACTGCAAGGCTAATAGGCTATGATGGTTGTTTGAACAGGCTTTGCACTAACTAAATCTAGTTTCATCAACTACATCTGACACTGCACATCTCATACATGGTGGGTCCCTATGGTGTTAGATCAAGTTGGTAGGGTGTTGGAACTTGTTTTGTTGGTAGGTGATTCCAACTTGAAACTAAATCCTGTAAAAGACTTGACATTATTGACAAAGATAAACTTATTGGGATGAGATAGGAGACCGGATCTGCTCCTCACAGAGCGGCTCACATGGACCTCACAATCTCATTCCACCATGTATTGGAAGCATCTCCCATCCTTTGTATTGTTATTCATGAGGAGATGTTCTCAATACACGATAGGATGAGGTTATGAGGTCGATGTGAGGTGCACTCTATGGAAGTAAATCTCAATAGAGCTTCCCTATCTGTACCAATTTGGAATTTGGAGTTCATATTCACAACATATCACAACCATGCATTAGGCTCAGTTTGGAAAGAGTACAAATACAAATATATAGAATACAAAACTATGTATTTTTGTATTATTTTGTATGTATTTGTAATGTACATATTTGTATTTGTACTCATTTCAAACTGAGCCTAAAAAACATCTTCCCATAAATAAAACAAACAAGTATAGAGATGTTCTCGGTCCACCACTTCAAATGTTGTGAGGACCAAATCTGATCTCTAATCAAGCATTTTTGAAGGAAAAAATGTTTCGGACATATACCCTCAATACTAACCCTAAGCCAACCCAAAGTTGACTTCATGTTGGGTTGGGTTGGGCCAACTCATCCTTTCTCCCATGTTCTTAACATCTCATAAAATGTTTCAAATTCTTTTAATCTTTAAATAAGAAACATATACTAATCTGTTATGACCATGAAACATCCATATCTTTATTGGTATTTACCCATTTGATCTTTTTATTAGATTATTTATTACAAATGAAAAAAATATTTTATAAAATTAGCAATAATAAAACATAAATTTATGGAATAAAAATCACAAATGACAAGTTATCATTAGGGTTAGGGCTTAAGAGTTATATGACAATTTGATAATTATTGTATGTAATAGTACGATAATACATATGACGATAGTAATAATATAGTTGGGTTCAGGTTGGATCAGGTTGCCCATGGGTTGAACTGGTTAACCGAACCATGAGTGCTCATCGGCCAGCTAATCGATCTTGTTGGTTTTTGATAAATACCTAATCAAATCAATTCAATTAACTAGTTGACCGGAAAGGCCGTTGTAATATCTTTTAATCCCCATATTATCCTTATAATAATTAGACGGAAAAAATACTGTTCATCTTCCCCAACCTTTGGATACTATCCATCCATTTTTTCACATTTTTCTCTCTCCCTCTCTCTCCCCCAAATCCGATCTGGTGGTCGGTCAAATGGCCAAAGACAACTCCAAAACCAAACCAGTAGCCTCAATGAAGCCGGCTCCAGCTCCAAGGATTTCCAACAAGATCAGAAAGACGAAGGTTGGCTTCAGCTGGGAATCGGTGATTACATGACGGTAAGAACCGAGTTTAAGCATATAATCAAATGGAACCAACCACTCTAACAGTCAGATTGGTGGAGCTCGATCTATTACCACCCAGCGGCAGTAGTATTAGAAGCAGCACACAACAAGTTAAACCATTATTAAATCCTTTCTTCCATACGAGTTTAGAAGTCATCGTCCAAGCAGTTCTAGTGGTGGTACCAGTATCATCGGTATGCCTTTGTTCTTGCCGCACCCGAGGACCAGTTTGAGTTTTCCTCAACCTGAGGTCCCATGGGGAAATAGGCCTAACCCATGGAATCCAACAACTTCATCCTCTTCTTGTTCTCCGATGCTGCTGCCTGCAACTTATTACGCCCCACAGTTTCAACAACCAGCTTTAGACGTTGCCGGTCCAAGCTCAGATGTTAGAGTCGTCGAGGCTCCTCCGAGAACGCAATCCGGTGTTTGGTTTATTCTCCAAGCATCACAAAATCAGTAAGTACTAAATAGATGGAAGAATCAGATCATGAAGAAATAATGGAAGAAACCGAAGACCCTATTCTCTCTCATTTTTTGATTTAGTGTCGCTTCTAATTAATCTATTGCACCTTGCAACTCAATGCAGAACAAGAGAACCTTTCTTGCCTCAGATACCCAAGAGCTACCTAAGAATCAAGTAAGTCTGTTACTTTTTCTTTCTTTCTTTCTTTTCCCTCCTTTTTTGTATGTCTGTGCTTTATGTTAATTTCCTGAAAGGAAAACCGTGGTTATTGGTTAAAACAACTCCTCGTCTAATCAGCAGCATTTATCCCTCCCCCGGTAAATTAATCTTTGTCTTCTATGGGAGAATGACAGTTCGATTGTTGATGAAATATCTGGTTAACAAACTCAAACTAGAAAACGAATCAGAGGTACTTAAAACCATCTTTGCATGTTTCACTTCTAAATGCCTATAGAATTAATGGTTGGTTTGGTACCATGTGCCACATTTTTTTTATTCATTTTTAGCTATTTGCGTACTAAAATCACGATTTACGAATGCAAAATTGACAAAACATTAGTTACCCTTACAGACCAACACCAACCTCACAGACGAGGCGCAGTCAATTCACTCTTTTTGTGTCTTCCTCTGTTTTTCTGAGGAGAGAGAATAAGAGATAGAGGATGCGCAGTTTTCCGCGTTATGAGGTGTTGAACAGAAGGGTCGTATCCATTCTTTAGTTCTCCACGTGGCCAAAGAGAGGATGGTGAAGGAGAGGAAAAAAAGAGAAGAAAGGCAAGACAATATGTTAAATAGGTTTTAAGAGAAAAAGGACAAAAAAAATAGAAAATACAGAAAGTTTAGTGGGGTATTTTAATAATTTAATGTCCTTCATCTGACTTAACAGTCAAGGGGGGTCTTTGTGGCAAAACAAAGTACAAGAGGGTCTTTATAATTTACCCTAATATATATTATAAATATTATAAATATAAATTATATATATATATGGTTACGTTAATATGGGATTTTCTAGGTTAACCAAAAATTAAACTGGTACATTTGTTTTTTTTTTTCTGAAAAATACTGATGGGTTTGGGTAACTAGATTTTTTTATTCTAATTGCTCGGTTCAGTTTTCCAATCGAGTCAACCCTAATCCAATCACCAACTTAACTCAACCCAAATGGATTAGAGATGGATTTGTCTTTGGTGCTAATCCAATTCAAGGCAACAACAATAATAATAATAAACAAGAGGAAGAAGAATAAGATGAAGAAATAGCACATTTAAATTATGGTAATTTATCAAATCATGGATTTACTAAAACCTACCCTATAAATTGCCTTTTGGTAAAACACCCTATGGTTTGAATCTAATTTACTTCATTTATTTTTTGTCATCAAAAAGAAGGAAATAACAGTGTTGGACCCTAATGTCGATTCAGATCAATCTAATCAAAAGAAAGTAAAAAATGAAAATATCATTTTTGTCCCTAGTTAAAACACAAGTAAATACTTTGTTCAATTACTTTTATTCTTTGTTCAGAAAAAAAGGGGAAGGTATGCATAGAGCTGCACCTTGGACTGAATTAGTCCAAACACAACCTACAAACATAAGGTTGGTTGAAGTCCAGATTTCATGTTAGGGTTGAGACATTGACCAACCCGCCTCGCCCCAAACTCGACTTAACTTCATATTTACATGTATAAATATCATATTTACATATAATTACTTATGTATATGTGTATTCACCATTCACTATTCATGCATGCAAGTATTTATGTATATGCATGCAAAAAATTAATAGTAATTAGTTATGTATATGTGTATTCACCTTGGACTGAATTAGTCCAAACATAAAAAAATTTAAGTTTAAAGGCATTTTTTAAATGCAATAATTATGTTCATTTACACACAATTAATAGTGATAGTATTGGATTAACATGAGCCCTTAGAGTCTAGGAAATAAGTACACGGCAAAAGGAAGTAGAGAAAGTTGGGCCAACTCTAGACCAACCCAATCCCAACATGAACCCAAGTACCCAACCCAATCATCAACAACATGGGTTGGGTTATGTTGACTAGGGGTGGATTCAAGCCGAGTCGAGCTGAATAGTATTAGGCTCGAGCTTGAATTCGGTTCGAGCCAGAATCTTGAGCTCGAACTCGGTTCGAGTAAAAAATTCATAAGTTCAAATTTGGTTCGGCTCAAGTTCGATTTTGAGAAAAAATATTTTATAAAAATAAAGTTTATATATAAAAAATTTTATTTTATATTTTAAAAATTAAGAATTATAATAATTAATAATTATAATATTTTTATTATATATATTATTTTTTATAATATTATTATATATATTATATATATTAATATACAAGTCGAGCTCTATTAGGCTCGATTTCGGCTCATTTAATAATCGAGTTACTGAATTGGGTTCGAACTCGATTTAAACCGAGCCAAGCCGAGCTCGAATAACTCGTGAAAAGCTCGGCTTGTTGCCACCCCTAGTGTTGACCTAACCCATCCCAACTTGCACTCCTAGGTATTTTGTTGTAGAGTAAGAATCATAATGACTTATTCTCTCTTATCTTCATTATGTTAAAATCAAACATTGTTTTTTTTTTTATAAAAATTTGGTAAAAAGCACTAGGGATATTTCCAAAATAAATAACCATGGATCCTTAAACATTATTTCAATCAATTTAGGTGGTTACTTTACAATTTTCAAAGAATAATACGTCCATAAAAACTTAAGTATAGTTATATGCAATATAATAATGCATATATAAATATGGTATATGATATTTTTTATAATACATGTGTGTATAAATAAATAATCTATTGACAATAAAGTATAGGTAATTAAGTAGTGCAAACTTATTGGCTTTTAACCATATTGAAAATTTATCAATTTTCCAACTCAACCGGGCTCAAGTTGCCGTACCGCCTTACCGGTATGCTGCCTTGGTCAAAACGCTATATGGCATGGGTACTCACTACTCAGCTTCTATTTGGGGTAAGTACCTCTTTCGAATAAATGATACTTTTCGACCAAGCACTTGTTTCTCAAATAGTCTAATGATCAGTTGATCACCGAGCTATATGTAGATGTGTAAAATGGGCTGTGCTTGATTGGTATGGCATGGCTCGTGGGCGGTTTGTGTAAAGTAAGGGCCGTGTCGTGTTAGTTTGTGGGTCATTACGGGTCGTGCTGTCTTTTCCGATAAAAAATTTGGGGGTCAGCCCGACATGGTCTATGGCCCAGGCCCATGTGGGCCTGTGTCGTGCCGTTGGCCGGGCTGGTCTGTGGGTTGAGTCTTTGGTCAGGTCGGGTTGTGCATTGGGCCAAGGCTATTTATTTAAAAAAAATTGACAAAAAACTTAAAATTTTAATTTTATATGAATTTTGTGTATAAAATTGCTTATATATATAATAATTAAATAAATTAGTATAATAAAATTATAAAATATATTTATTTTATTAATATATTATATATTATATATTATCATATAATTATAATTTATATAATATTATATAAATATATATAAAGTATATATACGGTCCGCTCGGTTGTGCCATAACGTGCCAGCCCATGGACCTAAAACCCCAAACTTAGCACGGCCCGATTTATACCTCTATTTATATGCAATTAGGATTGTAACGAGAGCCGAGAGGGTCGCACTAAAATAAATAGTAAATTATAGGTAGTTAAGTGCAAAATAAATTGTTCAAAAGAGCAAAGCGTCATGATATCCAAAAGAAAGGTGTTTTGTGTAATTTTCAGATTTGAAGTCTTCCTGTAAGTTTCTTTGTTGCCCTAGCCTCTAAACCCTTCACCATCTCACCTCTTTCTCTCTCTCGAACAGTTGAAGGAGGCTTTCTACATCCGAAGCATAAGCAAAGTTTTCTGCTTCTCATTCGTGAAATACAATGGGAAGAGAACGAGAAGCTCCAAAGCAGCAGCAGGTCTCGTATACGGTGGAACAACTCGTCGCCCTGAACCCGTACAATCCTGACATTCTTCCTGATCTCGAAAACTTTGTGAACGAGCAGGTGACTTCCTGACACTAGACCTAGAAATTGAGAGCTTATTGCAACATCAGGTTCCATCATGCATTATAGTTCTTTAGTTTTTCGTCAGTTTCTCAGTTAATAAATCGCTGAAAAGACAAAGAATAGAAATCATACAGGAATAGGATAAAAAATAAAGGTTAGGTGGAGTCTGATTGATTGGGGGTGATGAACATTGAGTTGAGATTGATATTCTTCTATCATATTGCTTTTTTTTTTCAAACCTTTGGTGGGTTTAATCTTCTGGTATGTCATCGTAAATAGAAAGAAATTCTGTTCGCTGTAGACTGATGGGTTTATGTTGTTTGTTTAAGAAATAATAAATGTGTCAATTCAACGTTTTTTATGTGGATTCTGGCTTGTTTGTCTACAGAGGCTGTAGTAGTAGAATTCCTATAGCACTAGGAAAAACTACAAGCTTTCACTTAAATACAGAAAAAAAACTTTGTCAGAGGTAGAAATTGCTTCACCTAAATAACCGTTCTCCAAGGTACGTGATTTTTGGGATATGATGGAAAGGTTATCTAAGAAATTGGAAGATTGGAAGAGAAAAGCACATTCGTCCCGGGGTGTGGAGATTTTGTAATTTGCTTATGTGTTTCTTATAGGAAGGGAGAAGCTTTACTGTTTAGATAACTGGCTCTGTTCTTTCTCTAAGGAACAACAAAGGTTATGGAATTCAATGGTAAAGAAAATATTGAAATCAGTGCAAATGGCTGAAGTGTTGGTTCTACTGCAAGAGTTATTTCAGTTGACCATTGGAAATCAACTAATGCTGTAGTGACTTCATGTCAGACTCTGCAAGAGTTATTTCAGATTCTGCTTCTTTTGGGTGATAAATTTATATTTCGGGAGAATTTTGTTTTGTCAGACTCTGCTTCTTGTCACAGTTTAGGAATTAGCCATCTTTTCTCCTTCTCCTTTCTCCCCATGGTATTTCTTAGAACTTAGGTTTTCTGGAAATACAATACTCAGTTGAAGACCTGCTCCAATTCTAAGAGAAACTCAAAAATTGTTTTTTTTTAATTATTATTATTTTTTATTTTTTAGTTTTTCTTTCTTTCAAAAAATAAATGAAACAAACTTGGATTAATATCATATTCCGTTCCAAGACCCATATATCCGTTGGACTCGGATTTAAGTTTAACAGTCAGATTGGATTTGGATGTGTTTGGATCTGATTCGAGTCCAGCACAATTACAGCTCTGTTCCTAAACTCCAAATAGTTCCTGGTGAAAACTAACTGGTTGTGTCCTACTCTTGGAAATGTCTTTAATTGTGAGGTACACTGAAAATTAGTCCCTTTGATATGCTCCATTTCTGTTGTATGGCTTGGTCAGAAGCACCTCAAGTGTGTATCTCTTGTAAGGCTTATATTTAGACAATTAACCACTTGTTCTYTTGCTTTTGCTATTGAGAGTGAGGACCATTTCATACCTCTCTTTGGTTCTCAGCGGCAACATCTTGGTAACATTGATAGTTGTTTTTCATTTTTTTTGAGACAGGACTTTTTTCACCTCTCACTATGAGATGGAAGGCTATCTGCTGATGCTCTAGAATCTAGATACATTATTCTCAGGCTGACAAATGAGAGAATGCAGGTTCAAGTCTGAGAGTGGCATTCTTATGAAAAATATACCGAACATAGTAATATTAGGTTTGCATCCATCCACCCATCCCAAGACCCTGGATAGCTACAACTAACACTGGGTAATGTCCCAATGGAAGTTGGGAAGACAGGAAGGCCTGATTATTCTCCAATTAACAGTAGTTCATTCTAGTTTTTGTTTTAATTTCTATCAGGATTGCTCACTGGATTTGGACTAGAAAGGATGTCTGGGGCTTTTTCTTCATGCAATAGATAGGGGATGGGGGAGATGGTTCCACAATCCACATAGTAAGTTCATGCTGAGTAGACAAGTTAGAGTAATAGAGCTGGTCTCCTCTTCCAAAGAGTAGTCAACTGTAATTTAGATGTCTTTTCAATTGACAACCTGGAATATTCAGGGATTGGAAGAGTGTTAAGAGGTTAGAATGGGGGAGGTTACTGTTGTTTACTAGGGGCTAATTGAAATACAAGTTAGTGACAGAAAAAGCCATGTAAGAGTAGAATATTCTGCCATCAAAGAATTGGATGTGCTGAGGGTGTAGTCGGTTATTGTGTCAATCTAACACACTGAAGGTCTCCGGTTCGAGTCCAGGTGACACCAATGATTCAATGTTCGAAAAGAAATAAAGAAAAAAAAAAGAATCGGATATGCTATTTTCTTACAAGAACCATGAAGGAGGTTATTGGTTAGTTCTGAGCATCAATCCTTCAGCAAATTTGGGTTATATGGATGGAGCATTCAAAGGAAGGTTCTGTTATTTATAGAAGAAAGAAATACAAAGAGGTTGGTTCAATGAAAAAAGTAATATGGTTCATCTTTCTAATCATGATGATGCATAAACTACTGCAAATAATGGTTGTTTATTTTGTTCATGAGATTTTTTTTGGTATGTTATAGAAGTTGCTTAGAAAATAAATATGAATGTATGGAACTTTTTTCTAGGTATTTAGGCATTTAGAAAAGCTTCTCATCAGAAATTGAACATTGTGTAAGGATAAAATGTTGTCTAATTTGTTGTTGCTTTAATTTTTTCAACACATTTAGGCAGCTTGCATTTTCTAAATGAAATGCTTGATCTTCTATGTTCTATAGGGTATGTGTGTTGCATAGCATTTTCCTGATCATTTTGCTTGATGGCCAAACAATTATGTAAAAAAAAAATCTTTCTTTTCTGGCTTAAACATGGCTTAGTGGGCGATATCCCAAACTTCCATGTTAGAATTTTGCAAGTCTCAATGGGTTGTAAGTTAAATAATCTAAAAATATTGCCTATAGTTTCAATGCAACTCTTACTATAATTTTGGATCTTCAACAGCTTTGACAAGGAAATGGGGGTTGTGTAGGTCACCACTCACTAGGTTGTATGCTAATTTTAATTAGATGTCATTTCTAAAACAAGTATGAAATCAAATTGGCTCGAGTGGCAGAAAATTACAGCGAACATTTTCTGTTTATTTGTAGTTATCCTAGTAACAAGATATAGCTGGTTTGAACCATGACATTACAGGAACAAGCAGGCCTTATGAAAGACCACATATTATTTGCTTATAATTTGTCAATAGTGCACCTATTATGAATTGCTTATATTGCCTTAGCTTGAAATTAATAGCTCTCACTTGATTCTTTGCCTGTTATTTATTTATGTCTTCTAGTTCCTAGATATGCATGTTCTAACTAGCATTCTTACAACTTTTAACTCGGGTAATTTATCATGCCAACTAGGTTTCATCACAAACATACAGTTTAGATGCAAACCTTTGCCTTCTTCGGCTCTATCAGGTCAGATATGTCTTTTACTCTCTCTCTCTCTCACTCACACACAGACATATATATTCATTCACTTGCATGCTTACATGCATGTCCTTGCACACCCTCATATTTAATGTAGTTGATAAAAGGGATGTAACATTTGTATCATTTCTATCTTCTGATCTGGTTTTTTTTTTTTTTTGCAGTTTGAGCCAGAGAGGATGAGTACCCAGATTGTTGCTCGCATTTTGGTTAAGGTTTGCGAAATCTATTCATAAGAACTTGATAAGTTTTCTACCTATTTTCTGCAACCAAAATTTATTGCTGCTTTGTCTCCTAAGGAGGCGCTCATGTCAATGCTAGCTAAGTTTGTTTGCAATGTCATTTTTTTTCTTCTTTCAATTGTGGGCAGGCTCTTATGGCAATGCCAGCTCCAGATTTCAGCCTTTGTCTATTTTTAATCCCAGAAAGAGTGGTACACTTTCTTTCTTCCCCTTTTATCATTCAGCAATCAGCATGCCATTAGCTGATTCATTATTCATATTAGGTGTATGCATGCTTATCTGTTAAGAAAAAGGACATGTATTGTACATGTGCCTTCCTGTTTCTGTTGTTGCTTCTTTTTCCTGGCTTCTTGGTATCTTAAAATCTCAGGTTCTTAAAGCCAGATTTGATGTATGATACGAAAATTATATTAAACCGTGTAACATCTTCCCCCAATTTTGTACAAAAGTTAGTGTTGGATACTGACACCCATTAATGGCTTTTATGGCAACATTTATCTCGCCTTTGAAATTAGCAAATAATGATAAACCGATAAATGGTTCATGGCAATACAATTAGAAAGCCTCTGAATTTTCAATTAAGGGGTTTTGAAGGATCATCCGCCTCCAAGAAGCTGATGTAAAGTGGATGTAGTGAATCTTTTTCCTTCCCTTAAATACTCAATTGATTTTCAACTTTTTTTCTACTTTTTCCTCTTAAAATTGTTCTGCAACTGAACTCAACTCAATTTAGCCAGTCAGCCTTAATTACAACTATTTGGGTTTGGCTACACAAATCCTACCCTGCCATTGTGCTCTATCAAGAACCACATTTTTTGTAAATAGTGGCTTCGCACTGGAAGTATTAGGGTAATATTTGTAACCCCACCCCACCCCACATACACACAACAAGCAGAATTTCCATGGCTGCAGCCTCAGTAATCCTGGTGAACCAGGAATAAGGGGTTCTTTCAGAGACAACAACAAGGACATCAAATTGGTGTTTTCTGGGCTAATAGGATTAGGGAACTCCATAAGAACAGAACTACAAACTACACTTCAGGGACTAAAATTGGCAACCTCTTCTGGTTTCCAGGAACTGGTTGCAGAGGAGGATTCCAAGACTATTATATGGCTGAAAAGCCTGAAATACGAAATGGTTGGACCATGGAATTGTAGAAACCAAATTAGAAAAACAGGACTTTTGGTGGTTGGATTGCATGCATCTTTCTCATGGGTGCCAACAATGTGCTGACAGACTTGCTGATTCATTAGTTCACGAGGGTGTTAGCAGATAGGCAATGGTGTAGAGTGAATATCCTTTACAGTAAAAACAAACATTATTTTGCATTTGGAGGGGCTCTACTAGATGGGAGCAATATCAACCTGTTTCATATGCAATGATTTGTCAAATGCATAAATGCATATATATAGTGTGAAGTGTAAATACACAGTGTATTTACATAACGGTAAAACCTTGGGCTGGCAAGTGTGAAAACACAGCTTTGTGTCTGAGCGCAGCCATTTAATGCAAAAAAACTGCCACAGATTAGGATCGTACCTAGTCTGCCCCTTCCAAGACCCCACTTAGCTGGGACCAACATGGTGTCTTGGCCTAGTGTAAATACACACTGCACATTCTGATATAATTAAGAGAACTTTTTTGTTTGCTGGCAAATAATGTTTCTGTCATATTTTTAATCCTTGGGTTATTTTTTACCACTAAAGACTACGTTTTGTTTGGTCTTCCTCTTGCAATATTATAGTCTTCTATTTAAACCAAATCACTCCTCATTGTTGCAGTCATTGCTTGTATGTGCATATGGATAAACCATCCTAGTTGACTTTCCCTTGTCTTGTCAGTTCTTACTAATTGAAGCTACTCCCAAGTCCTCTTTATATTTTTGTTTCTGATTCGGCCCTTTCTAGTCTTACCATTCATCAATTTCAAATCATCTCAGTCACACTCATACCGATTCCTCTTAATTTTTTTTTAGATTTGAATTATACATGCACTGTAATGTGATATATTTATTTTCTGTTTCAATTGTCAGCAAATGGAGGAGCAGTTCAAGACACTGATTGTTCTCTCACACTACCTAGAGGTATGTTTTTATTGTTTCTACTTTCTCCATGACTTGCACAATTGCACATTCATGAAATGGGCTGTCATATTCTTACATTTCTTTTTTGTTCTCCAGACAGCGAGGTTCTGTCAGTTCTGGGGCGAGGCTGCAAAGAATCACAACATACTTGAAGTTGTGCCAGGTAACAATGCTATATCTGTAAGCTTGTCCCAAGTTATCCCTTATATATATGTATTCAACTTTTGCTGCTAGTTCCTTCAATTTTGTAGACATGGTTTCCTGTTGAGGATCTGATGAAATAGATTGAAAACCACGGCTGGTTTGAAAATTCTTTGTGTAGGAGTTTGTGACTAGGAAAAGAGCTTTATCTTGGGTTGTTTTAGTAATTTAGCTAATCACATAAATTGGTTAGATCATTTGAAAGTGCTTTTTTTGTGTTTTGCTGTAACTAGCTCAATTACTAGGCAGTTCAAATATATGCTGTCCTCAAGGAACAAATGAATAGGCAAGTTGCTAGGACAAATGGAAGGGCCGAAGGGGTATTATTTTATAACCAGGTGATCTAGATTGGGAATGGTGCAGCAGCAAGAGAAAGTGAAACAAATTATTAGGATGATCCTCTCCCAACAACAAACCATCACAACATGTTCCAACATGATCTGTGTCTGCAAGGGCTGTACACAGGTCGGTTTGGTTTGGTTGCACACAATTTTGTCAACTGAACTGAACATCTTGGGTTGAATGTTATGCCAACTGAAACCGACCGAAATAGAACAAAAGCTGATGTATAATAGGAACTCTTGGATTGTCAGTTTGATCAGTTATACTGAACCAAGAACTCCTTGTTCATGATTTGATCATTTGATTTGGGCCCACGACCCTAGAAAATTGATCCATTCAAACACCTTTATTTAGAGTAAAAAGTTGACCCTATATTTTATTAGTTTAGATAGAGACCAGAGAGAACAGTCAGTACGGTCCTAAAAAACTAATATTATTGTTTTATTATTATTTATTGTTTAAATATTAGTTGTTCTCTCCTGTAAGCTTCTTGAAGCTGAATTTTGATGGTAGTAGTCTTGGTAATCCAGGCCGATCAGGGGTAGGAGGGGTACTAAGGAATGTGTCTGGGAATGTGGTTCTTATTTACTTGGGCCCCATAGGACTTGGAAACTCTACTAGGGTGGAACTTCTAGCTGCTATCCAGGGAGTACAACTAGCAGTGCAGGTAGGTTTGGAACAATTGCTAATAGAAGGGGACTCCAAAGTGGTAGTAGGTTGGCTACAAAACCCGGATTCTATTGTGTGGTGCTTTAAGAATGAAATTAAAAAATTCAATTGGCTGATAAGGAGTTTGACAGTGAGAGTACAATGGGTGGGGAGATCAGCAAACGCTATGGTTGATGGTCTTGCAAAGAGCAAGGGTTAAATAGGGAAAGATTGTATTGGGCTCAACTGTAAACTGAATCTGTTTTCTGTTTTCTACTTCTTGCTTTTTTCCTGATGTTAGGTGAGGTCGCAGCTCGCGCCTCTCCTTGGGAGCTTGTAACTGCTTTATTCTTCTATTAATGAAATCTTAATTTACTAATAAAAAATAGGGAAAATTCCCGATGAGTACCCTGTACTTTGGCTCAAGTGACAATTTGTCCCCGAACTTTAAAATGCGGCAATCCAGTACCCGAACTTTCAAATTGGTCCCCGATCAGTACCAATATTTTCCCTAAAAATATTGGTTGTTCTCTCTTGAAAGTCAGTACCAATATTTTCCCTAAAGCTAAATCAAGAATGGAGATAAAAGAGAGAAAAATTAATAGGTCCATATAGAGATAATAACTATGCCTAGGGGCCAGGGGTCAGACCTACACACCTGTCAATTTTCACTTCACCTGTACATCGTACCATGCCTATGGGCTATGGTTACAATCGATCAGTTAGCGGGATATATCCCATTAATGTATACTTGGTTCGGTTTGGTTCAGGTTTACTTTGGTTTACAAACTTATAACCCACAACCGAATCGATCAGTTGGGTTATGTTTATTTTTAAATCAAAAACTGACTGACCTATTTGAGAACTGACCATATCGGATTGAGTTGGGTTGATATAGTCAGTTTGGTCGGTTTTGTCATTATTGTTTGAACAGCCCTAGTGTCTGCACATCTAAGCATGGTGGCCCCAGTTTTATGGTGAGATATGTGGAGACAGATAAGTTGGAACTGTGTTGGGACAATTTCTGTTGGGAGGAGATCCCAGCTTTGGAATCAGCCCCAGATTGGATATTAAACAGGAGAATTATGTGGGTGTTATGGGGAGAAATGTCCTTAGCACTAAGGCTTCTTGACTGGTGACCAGATATACTGACAAGAGTTTCTTAAGAAAATGTTTAAACTAGTTACAATGAGTAAAAATCCACCTTATATTACCCAAACCCTACTAAGGAAAAAACCCCTAACTAGTCAGTTCTTTTAATCACTCTAGTTATTTAGATTGACCTATAAATTCTTTAATCAACATAAATAACAATTACTCAGAGAAGGTAAGAGGAGAACCAAAGTATATTTGGTTTTGCCACATTCCAATCATCTAGAGAGAAAAATTAAACATCTAAAGCTTGGCATTTGTAATCCTATTTTACCCCAGTCTGGTGTGCTTTTTTTGAATGTTGCAACATGCAAATGCTTTAACTTATAAATTCATATGATGTTGTGATTGCAGATGTTTCACAACATCTACAATCCCCTGTCTGGTGTGCTTATAGACTAGCAAGATTATGTTTGTTTTTGCTCCTCTGTGGACACCATGCTTTATGCTAACCAGTAAGGCTCAATTTGGAAAGAGTACAAATACAAATATGTACAGTACAAACACATACAAAATACAAGGTTTTGCACTCTACATATTTGTATTTGTACTCCTTCCAAACTGAACCTAACAAGTAAATGGCAAGCCTGTTATAATTTTATAACTTCCCCACTTTCCTCATTTTCCAGATGTCTTTGGAGCACTTTTTTTTCTGTCTTGGTTTGGCTATTACTGTTACTCACAAGAAAATATAATGCAGGTTTTGAGCAAGCAATCCAAGCTTATGCAATTCATGTCCTTTCTCTGACTTACCAAAAGGTTCCCAGACCTGTACTTGCGGAGGTACAATTCACTACCTTTTAACTTATTAATTTTCTTTGCTATGTTTGGCATGAGATGTCAATCAAATATAATTTTACCTGAGTAGTGGAAAGGGTTGCAAGACAAAGCAAAATGGTTGATAAATGGCTTGGATGAGTACTAGAAATTACATTGTCCTTAACCAGTATAAGAAGATGCTTTAGTGTGATAATTCATTTGATTGTTGTTGCTTTGCTGGTTGTTTCTTTATGTATAAAGGATTTTCGACATGAAGCATTAGGGTTTTCACCCACAGAAATAAGAAATAAGAATCTTGTCACGTTCTTTGTCAATGAGGTGTGTGTTACTTGTAATGTTGAGTCTGGATCCTCCAGTCCACTGACCACAGAATTGTTATATTCATCCAATGAAAATAAACGCACATCCAAAAAGATTGCTTTAGTATTTGTGTTTTGACTTACTAAATGCCCTTGCTGTTAGTTTGCAAAATGGGATGGAGGATTCTTAATCCATCACGACTGGTAAGTTTATGGTTTGTAAAGGACAGACATGAATTACGTGCAGGATGGATATGCACCCACATTAGTGAATTGTTCCTTGGTCATTTTGTAGTCTTTTATTCACCTCTTTTATCCACCTTGTTTTTCAACTATTGCATATGGACGTATATGGCGATTAAGTTTAAGATGGTGGAATTTCCTAACTGATTGAATCTCCCTCCTGACAGGCTATCAATATTGAAGGCCTCTCTTTGGACAAGTTCCTGGAGCACCAGGTGGCCAACTGCGGCTGGGTTCTGGAGAAGGGGCAAGGCCGAGGTCAGCTCATTGTCCTTCCTCGCAATGAGTTCAACCATCCAGAGCTCAAGAAAAGCACAGCCGACAGCATCCCATTAGAGCATATTACCCGAATCCTCCCCATACTTGGCTAATTTTCTGGCCAGAGGTTGAACAAAATGTTCACATTTACATTTTTGTTTTCTTCGTGTTTCCAATGGAAAATTCAAGACTGACGCAAATTGCTCCACCTGAATCTCTGATTATGTTGCAACTCTTGCGTTAAATCTAGTTTATATTTTATATCTACTTGTAGTTGATTCATCAATGATGGGGGACTACTGATTCTTATTTTATGTTGTAAACTAGAAAGACTTCAGTTCTGAAACCTGTTTGCACTGCTACCTGGTTCGAATTTTATACCATTGAAAAGAAACTGTTGTTAACTTGTTATAACCAATTTTTTACGAGAACCAACAATTTGAGAACTAAAGACAATGTTGTCAGATTCGGATTGGAGCCATTGATTTGTGGAGGGCGGATTCAGTCCTCACAAAATTGTGTTCTCACAGCCCTTTACAGCCGTGCATTGGGAACATGTATCTTTTCATTCATGGGGAGATGTTCCCAATGCACGGCCCTTTTCATGGGGAGATGTATCTTTTCATGTATCTTTTCATTGATGGTTTCATGGGCTGAACGAACCACAAATCACTATAAATATGTAGTTCTTTTCATATATATATATATATATATATATATATATATATATATGTGTATATAGTTTATAGTGTAGTAGGATATACACTGAAAATTGTTAGAAAATGGAACTAAAATAATGTATGGGTAAATAAAATCATATAAATCTCATCATACTAAAAATGATTAATTTTAATTATCATATAAGTATTTTTCTTTCTTTCTAACTATTTTTTGTATGATAGATAGCGGAAATTCATCCGGCTGTTTAAAATGTTGACAGTTAATGCAGGTTCTTTCTTAATAAGTGTAATATAGCACAGTAGCAATGGTTATAGTCTTTATTGTTTAGCAATGACTTCAATTCTAGCAAATGGCATGCCGCATGGCTTTTTTTTAAGAAGAATTGTTTGAATTTAAATTAGTAGACCTGGAAGTGTGTCAATACGGTGATAATTATTATCAGGGGAATTAATTGGGTCCTTTAATGGGAAGTAGAGCGAGTTAATGAGTTTGTATTTAATACATAAAAAAAAATCAAATTAAGAGTTAAAGGGGTGACAACAATGGACCAATACTCATATATCCATGGATTTGATGTTTTATAGGGTAGAATCCCAGAAATTAATGAGTTTGTATGAAATATATAAAAATAAAATAAAAAAATAAGAGTTAATGGGGTGACAACGATGGACCAATAGTCAGTTAGTCACTATATATCCATGGATTGGATGTTTATAGGGTAGAATCCCAGAAAAATTATGTCATTCCACCTCTGCCACATACCACTTTGGCATATTTTCGATAGTTTAAACATTGTTTTATAAGTTTTAACTTTTCACTGCATTTGGGAGTAATTCTCCAATTTTTAAACATTGTTTTATAAGTTTTAACAAGCCCACCCAAGTAAATTTCTAAACATAGAAGTGAAAGTGAAATTGTTGAATCTGTGATTAATTTTCTACTTTTTCTTTCTTTTTCTTTGGGAGTGGGAGATAAGAATAAATCATCTTAAGGGAATCTATTTGATTTTGTTGGATTTGAATTCTATTATTGTAATATCTTATGATGTATTCTCAGATTTTTCTTATTTATAATAAGGAAATCTCTTTTTTCAAATGATCAGAATGATGGAATGCAGTGGGGTTTTCAATCTATAAGCTTTTCGTTTTTACAATATGGGTTTGGCTTCCTATTTACTCCATAATATATTTCCAATTCCAATTCCAACACAATCCATTGACTTTTTGGATTGAACTCCGGTAAATCAGCCCAAGATGCCTTTCTAAACAATACATCACATAAGCATTATAGATAAAATAAGCCATAAATAGATAAACAAAAAATGTGGTATCATTCTAATTAAACCCATCTATAAAGATTACATAACATCGCCCTCACCTTAGTAGGAATGGTAACAGGGTGGGGTGGGGTGGGGCCGGGTTTTGCCTGTTTCATACCCGACCCTGAATTCAAATTCCCCACCCCAAACACCGATAGGACTAAAAATCCTAACCTCATCCCTGTCCCCGTGGGGAATGGGGATCTCCGACTTTGCCCCACCCTGCCCCGATCATTCTTGTATATTTATTGATTTATTATTTATTATTTTTTTTTGAAACCTACCTAAAACTACTTTATATTATATAATATAGTGTAATATAATATATATATATATATATATATATTATATTTAATAATATAGGTGGGGTAGGGTGCACAAATATTGTCCCCTCCTCTTGGGTTTTCCCAAACCCTGATCAGTGGTAAAAAAAAAAAAACCCGCCCCCAATCAGGTCCATGCAGATGGGTGAAATTGCCATCTCTATACCTTGGAAGATGAAATTGGATTAGTTGCGTAATGCTATCAACCAGAAATTGTGCACGTGAACTCTCTTTCTTCTTCCACCTCGTTGTTGTTGCTATGAACTCGGTTTACTCAGCTAAAGATTTATAGGCACCTCTGGCTCTGGTATTGCTTTTATTTATTGCACAAATGGCATTTCCATTCATAGACCAATATTTCATAACCGTTTCATCCAAACGTTCAAACACGTCTGCATTCAAGACAAGATACACATTGAATTGACTAAATCTTTGCTCTGTTGTTGAATTTCATTATAAATCTCCTTAGGTTTACATGAACCCTTTTCTTATCATTCTTGTATATATAATAAATTATCTATGATATCTCTCCAACATATTCAAACGTTATGGATGGAAGTGATAAAGATGGATTGCCCTCTCGAGTGCCAAATGTTGTAACTTTTCACATGATCTTCTTCTAAATGATTTGAATAGATTACTACTTGCCAAAAGAAAAAAAAAAAAAACTTATGGTGTTGGCTTCGAAATGCTAAGAGTGCTTTGTTGTTGTTTTTGAGATCCCGCTTCACAAATACCAAAATGTGAGGAGTAGAGTTGCGAATTGGAGCCTTTTGCACCATAAATTCTTAGTGAAATCAAATTCTTATGATTCTTCCTTGAGATCTTCGATGGGAATTTTGGGTTGGAAGGTGTCATCGCTTAACTAGCCAAGTAATTGTTTTTATTAAAAGTGGCTCTTGGAAATAAATAATTTGGCCCCTCCCCCTCGATTACACGATGGAATATTGATCTTCAATTCCCAATTAAGGCTACTAAAAGTAAAAGCATATGTGTCAAGTGGATTAATCGGTGTCTTCCTTCCTTCCTAAGGTATGGTTAAATTGAATCTAGACAAAACTCGGGCCTGGAGGAGGAGGGATGTGATAAGGGGCATAGAGGGTAAGTTTGCTGTTGTTTTTGCCTTCTATTATAATATGCTTATACTTGTATGAAAGTTGAAGCTTGTCTTCATGGCTTAAATCCTTGCTTTGAATCTTCTAATGGGATCCATTTGTTAGTTGAACGTGACAACTAAATTTTGGTGGACCTAATAAACAAACATAGTATTGTTCCTTGGGCTATCCACTATCAATTTCAGGAGATCTTTTCGTTGATGTCACCAGTGAATCTGAACGTGGCCATCACCCATGTGCATAAGGAAGCTAATATACCGGCAGAATTCCTTGGCTAATTAGAATATTGGTTTTAGGCTCCCGTGCTATTTTTATAGTTATTCTCCCAAATGCCAACTCAAACAAAGTTTCTAATTCAGGATGGTTACTTAGTTTTGCCGCCTCTTCCGTAGGAATGGCCATGGGACCCTGAACTCAAAAAATCCATTCCATCTACGCCTGTAAATGTTATTCTAAAATCCGAATTCGAATTTTAGATTTGATATAATCGAATCGAATATTCTATTGAATTTGGATATACATTAATCCGATCAGATAAATATCTGAACCGATTATATATATAATATAAAATAATATAATATTATATAAAGGTTAAAAAAAGAAAAAACAAAAAAATGAGAAATGAGTTCAGTCTTTTGAGTTTGAAGTTCAAACCTTACCTCTCTCTCAAGTTTCAACTTTCAAAGCCCTAAAACCCTAACCTTTCGTCACTCCCTTCGTCGTTGCCGGACGCCGTCCGAACAATCACCATCAATCCATCATCGGTCACCGCCCCTCATCATCCGAGCAACCACCCGCCCTTCGTTAGACGTCGTCGTCGCTCATCTAGTCATATTTTCTCTTACCTCCATCTCTCTTCTCTTAGAGTCTCAGTGAGATAGTGACCCATCGCCCAAGCAACCACCATCACCGACGATAGTGTTAGTGATAGCAGTCAAGCACCAATTACCGTCGACGACTAGTGCCGTCAATCCTCTGCCTCTTTTCTCAAGGTAATTAGATTTCTATAGATTTCATAGATTACAGATTGGTTTATTGATTTATTTATGAGCTAGATTTTTTAGCTCATTTTCGTATGCTATATTTCTAATGAGATAGAACATATTACAAATTTCTAATAGTGATTTAGATGATTTATTGGTTTTTTTGGTTTTTGGTTATGAGTTAGATTTTTCAGCTTTTTTCCCCTTCTTTGCAATCAATACCAATTTCAACTAATCGGTCAAATTCGAATCGAATCGAATATTTGATTTAATAATCGAAATCGAATTGATAAATTTGATATCCATCGAATATCGAATCGAATTTAAATATCAATATTTATAATCGATTTTAAATTCGAATCTAGTCAGATTCAATTCGAATTCGACCGCTTAGAGTCCTAACTCCATCCCCACCCCTATACCTCAACGGGGCTAGAAATCACAACAATGTAAGGAGCATAGAACTCTAAATTTCCCCACCCCGCCTAGTCCTACTTGCAAATTGATTTTTTTTTTCATTTTTTTTTGAAATTTACCTAAAACCATATTATATTACGTAATATAATATAATGTACTAAAGACACACACTTTTAGTCGAGGTGAGTTTCGATGCAAGGTTAACAAATACCATCCCTTGCTACGTCCCCAATCACCAAAGCTTCAAGTTTCCCTTAAACCCACCTGAACTCGATCATCGATAAAAAGCCCACCTTAATCAAGGTGGGGTGGGGTGGAGCCCACGGGAATGGGTCAAATTGCTATTTCTACCAAACCGATACTACTCATTTTTTCAATTCCCCGAACCAATACCACTGATTAACCAGTTTATCGGATTCTATTATTCAGTTTTTGGTTTTTTATATTTATAGCATATATTATTAAAAAATATAATATATAATAAATATTTAAATATTATAAATGTATAATATATTATATATCATAATATATATATATATATATATATCAATCCAGTTATTTGCTATTTTTTCTAAATTAATCGAAAACGGAATCATCCTTTAGGCTGAGTTTAGAAAGAGTACAAATGCAAATATGTAGAATGCAAAACCTTATATTTTGTATGTATTTGCATTTGTACTTCTTCCAAACTGAGCCATAGTTTTTAAAAAATGCCAAACCGGTTGTTTCAATTAATTACAATTTCAGTTCAGTTTTTTTTATTTTTTTTTTATGAGCACACCTAATGTAATGTGTATTTTGATTTTCTTTTTCATACAATGGGGTTGAGAGTGTTAAGGAGAGTTAATTTGTTCTTGGGCTTGGGGCAAGGCGGGCTATGTCTTACCCTTTTATCTACTCTTTTATGACGCATAGTAGTTGCCCCATACAGAGTAAAGTTTAGGGATAAAACAACGCATAGTAGTTGCCTTCAACAGATTTTGATTTGAATTCTCGTTATTATTACAAGAATAAACTTCTTAATGATAAATCAAATTTCAGCTCATTCAACCACCAAAAACCTTATAATTAACTGCTATAAAAAATATCATTACTTCATTAATCTTACAAATACATTGTCATAATGATGATTTGAGATTTAAGGTATAACCAAAATGAAGAATTAACCCATCATTTGATAGGAATAAAGAAGAGGAAATCATCTGCTACTTTAATGACCAAGAATTGAACCAATGAAAACATGGATATTTTGAGTTTTTTTTTTCAAATCTAAATAAACGAAATGTATGTATTATGCTAGCTTGTTTTTAAATTATTAAACAAAAGAGGGGGAGACTTCTCTGTGTATAGAGTCTCTTCTCTTCTCTCTAAGAGACTCTTCTTTGATAGACTCTTCTCTGAGTAGAGAGAGTCTCTATCTCTTGGTTTTTCCCCGATGTTTCTCCTCTCTTTTCTTTAAGAGAGTCATTGTCTCTGGGTTTCTAGAGGTTCCCTCTCTCTATTCTTTGAGAGAGTTTCCATCTTGGGGTGGCCCTCGGGTTCAGTCGCTCATTTTCTTCCCATTCTCTCCCTTTCTTCTTCAATTTCTTTTTCCCTTCTCCATTTCCCTCACTTCTCTCTCTTCTTCTTGATTAACTCGGTCCAATCTTCCACTCTCTTTTGTTTTTTCTCATTTTTTTCTTTTTTCTTTTTCCTTGTTCCTTGTTTTTTCGTCTATTCTTTTTTGCAGGGATTTTAGTATAGGAGGCAGAGTGTTGGGCGATGGCCTTAATCGCTACTTTGAATTTCACCGCTAGTGACTGTTTCCTTATTTTACTTTACCAACACTTACAATTCTGGGTGGATCCAGTTTCGATGTTAACAAATTCGACGATTACACTTCCGGGTGGTTAACATTCCAATTGGTTCCCGTTATAGCGGCAATAGTTCCGACAGTTTCAATTTCGGGTGGTTAAAGTTCCAATTGATTCCACTTTCAGTGATAATAGTTTTGGCAGTCTCAGTTCCGAGTTATTAAAATTCCAGTTGGTTCCACTTCTGGCAATAATAGTTCCAACGATTACTTTTTTCGGGTGGTTAAACTTCCAGTTGGTTCTAGCTTCGGCAATAATAGTTGGACGGTTATAGTTCTAGTTTTTTAAAGTTCTAGTTAGTTCTAATTCGTTAAAGTTCTGACAATTTTGGTTCCAGATGGTTAAAGTTATGACAAATCACTATTATATTTATTTCTCTCTTTCGTTGGTTGAAGATTTACTCATTTATCTCTTTTGTTGGTGATTCTGCCTCATCTTTTATCTGGTGCAAAAGTTTTTTCATTTTCTCTTTTATCCACTATGAATACTTTATTGCTTGATATTGTCATTATTATTCTCTATTCATATAAGTTTCACAGTTGAATGAAATATGATATTTGCTTTCAAAAAATAAAAAAAAAACAACTATTCATATAAGTTTCACAGTTGAATGAAATATGATATTTATATATTTGAAAAATAGTATAAATAAATTAGGTTAAAAACGACCAAAATATTATATGCTATCAATAAGATGAACCTAAAAATACTTTAACATTATATTTTATGAACAAAATGAATTAAAATTTGTAAAACTTAAATATGACAACTTAATGAAACTATAACATTAATACCAACTTAATTGATATAAAAACATTAATACCCACTTAAATGATAGATATAGTATAATTTTTAAGTATAATTTGGGTATGTAATTTTTAAAAATGTTTGGTACAACTTTTTACGTATATAGGAACATATATATTTAAATGAACTGCACCAGATTATATGAGGATCGGATAGTGGTACGTGCATATTTGATCCAATTATGAACGGATCGAATTCGGACCAATTAAGGATCGAATTCGGATATTCGAATACCGTTTGGAGCCCTAGATTACAATGGTTCACTATATAAGGGTACGTACTTGAGGCAAACCCTAACAGAGAAGAGGAGGTTTAGGGTTTCACTCATTCTTTTCTTTCTTCCTCTGTTACCGTCAGATCTACTCGGTCGAGAGCGACTCTAACAGCAGCCATGGCGACCGCAACGAAGGGGCTGTCACAGAAGGAGGCTGACATCCAGATGATGTTGGCCGCGGACGTCCATCTCGGGACCAAGAACTGCGATTTCCAGATGGAACGTTATGTCTTCAAGAGGCGAACTGACGGTGAGAGCATCCCATCTATTTCTTTTTTCCTACTGTTTTTTTTTTTTCACGAATTTGGATTTTTTTTTTTTTCTGGAGACAATTAAAAAGAACGGTGTGGAGAATGAAGGCGTTATTAGGCCTTCGAAACGTGAGGGGTGGTCTTGTGATTATTGTGTTATCTTATAGGAGTTAGCTTTTCTTGGTTCGTGTTTTGTTTATATCTGGTAATTTAAGTTCTTTTCGATTATTTATTGGAAAATTCGTGTTCTATTTTAGTTTTAATACGTTTGTATAAAATATTTATGTGGGTTTCAGACTGATAATTTATATATCTAGTTAATTAAGGCCTACAGACTTGAAGCTGCTTCATGGCAGATTGAAAAAAAGCAAAATTTGCGTCGTTCTGTGTATTATGTAAATTGTGTATGGAATGGCCTAGGCGACTAAAAGTTGACCAAGGAGTATTTAACAGTGCATAGCGAAACTTAACGAGTTGTTTGTGCAAGTTATGGGTTGTTTATGGAGTTGTATAGACTGGGAAGAATTGGAGTGACAATGAGTGTGTTCTTTATGGTTTCCATTTGTATCTATTTTGTTGTGTGCTGTATTTGGAAAATTATACAAGGCTTAACTAGTAAATTTTGAAACTGTTATTATTTATTTTAATGATCTTACTTCCCCCTCCCCATGTGGATTATATTTAAATTTTAACAGTATTTTTAGCACTTTAGCCCCGCATTTGTTGCAACGTTGCCTGATGCATATAGGATCTTCAACTTCATACTTGCTTGCAGGTGACAAATAATTTGGTAAGTTTTATTGTTAAGTTATGCATAATAAACTTTTTTTTTTCAAAATGCCATGCAATTGGTTTGTGACTATCTTTTGATTTTGAATATTGTTAGCGATGTTCTGGTGTATTAATTTTCTCTGCCACTACGCTTAAGCATAACTTATTTATATTCCTAATTCTCAGGTATATTCATTATTAACCTTGGCAAAACATGGGAGAAGTTGCAACTTGCAGCTAGGGTTATTGTTGCAATAGAAAATCCCCAAGATATTATTGTTCAATCTGCAAGACCTTATGGTCAGAGGGCAGTATTGAAGTTTGCACAATACACTGGTGCTCACCCTATAGCTGGTAGGCACACCCCGGGAACGTTCACCAACCAGCTGCAGACCTCATTTAGTGAGCCTCGTCTTCTGATCCTCACAGATCCTAGAACTGATCATCAGGTAAATCCCTGTTTGCTTTGAACTTTATGATGATGCTGTATTGTTGTTATAGGATTCTGCTTGACATAATCATGCGATGACTTCTTGCAGCCTATCAAGGAAGCTGCTCTTAGTAACATTCCAACCATTGCTTTCTGTGACACTGATTCACCTATGCGGTATGTTGATATTGGGATTCCAGCAAATAACAAGGGAAAGCACAGCATTGGATGCCTATTTTGGTTATTGGCAAGGATGGTTCTTCAAATGCGTGGCACTATTCTTCCTGGGCAGAAATGGGATGTCATGGTAATAAGTTCAATTTCTTTAAACATTTGAAAAGATCCAGTGAATGCTTATCAGCATTTTTATTTGTTTCTTTCTGGGTTGCTTCAGAATAAAGAGTAGGTGGTTTCCATATGATTAGTCCACAATGGTGAAAATTCCTAGATTTTGCTTTTTTGACAAAACCAGATTCTTAGTTGAGCACTTTAGCTTAAACATCCTTTCCATTAATCACTTAGAATATGTTGAAATGTAAAAGTTATTGGTGCTTTGTTTTTGGTCAAAAGGAAATAGGGGCAATTACTATTTTACTCCAACAGCCAAAGTTTTTCCATATTGTAGTGTGATATTTTAGAACATTTAAATGTTGTTCATTTTACATTGTGCAATTGGATGTGGTTGATTGGCCATTCTAAGAGTCTTCAATACATGTAGGATTGAGGATCATCACCTGCTTTTTTTTTGCAATAAAACTGTGACTCAATGGTATTTATCACGACTATAAATTCTTGGATTCAGGAAATAGTCTCCACATTGCTCTTTTGGGTCCTGGATGAATCACTAAAGTCCAGATGATTTTCATTGATTTGTGTAGTTGATCAAAATAACTAGTTTGGTGATTTTTTTAGAAACACAAAATTGACTTTGAAAACCTAAATCTTGCCCTGTTGTCTGAGTTCAAAAATGGACCACTAAGACCCCATGCCTCCATGGTATGATTTTCATTTACGTGAGTTGGTGGAGAGTCATAAAGATTTTGCCCAATATTTTATTGCCATTCAGGAATTTTTGTGAAGAGAATTGAACAGGTTTGGTCGTTTTTGTTCTTCCATCTGTTCTATGTGTAGGTGGATTTATTTTTCTACAGAGAACCTGAGGAAGCAAAGGAACATGAAGAAGATGAGGCGGTTGTTGCCCCTGATTATGGAGTACAAGAATTTTCGTCAGCCACACTTGGTCTTCCAGCTGATCAATGGCCTGCTCAAATAGCTGATGCTCAGTGGGCTCCAGAAATTGCTGCACCCGCCCTTCCTGTTGCTACTGTTGATTGGACCTCAGCGCCAGGTCAATATAAGTTCTCATCCTTATGTCCAAAACATGAATCCGATTTATATCTTTTTAAGTTGTCATAAAACATAGACATCACAACTCTTTGGTTATTCCAAAATAGAAGCCATATATTGTGCTTGCTGTAAGTGTTTTATCCACTTGGCTGCTTTTTATCTGTTAGGCAACTATACAGAAAACCTGTCTGTTTTCTTGTTCCTTGGGTACTAAGTATGTAGTAAGTACTCGCTGTTTTCTGCCTAATGGAACGGGAGAACGTATTTCTGAGAACAAAATGTTGGGCAGTGTTCCAATCCTGGACCTCGTAGATGCATAATTGTGTCTTGTGTTCAGCAGATCCAGACTCGAATGGAATCTATATTTATTTCAAGTGTTTTATTATTTCTATTATTTCACTTTCAGATCTTTTAGACAATCGTTACTTGTTCTAACTTGTGACATTTTTGCTTCATTGTATACAGCAGCAGTTCCATTGTCTGGTGGTGATGGATGGGATGCAGCAGCTGCACCACCAATGACTGATATTCCAGCTCCCGCTACAGGCTGGGAATGATAGRGCTACTCTCGTTTGAAACATTTCTTTTTTTAGCATCATTTCAAATCCCTTTCCGTAAGTTAAAACTTTTTTAAAGTACTATCATTCTCCATGGGGAATGAACGGACAAGAGTTTTGAGAGAGTGTAGTTTGAGACTCTTAGGGGTTTTTTTTTTGGAGATTTTACTTGTAAGGCGAATCTGTTATTGTTTTTCCCTTGCATATATGATGTCATGGATTCTAGGAGATCTTACATTCTTAGTTTAATATCTGCAATTTCTTAAAATGGTAAATTTTCTTTGGATTGTTTGGACCCTTGATCATTGGCTCTCTGACTCTTGGTAATATTTGAAACCCTTTTCGTTGGAAATATTCTTTCAAATAGGAGCTAAATCCTCCCTCCCCCCACCCTAACAGAATAAAGATTAAATACCGTATTTCTTGATTTGGACCGCGATAGGATTTTGGCTTGACTTTCATTGATAGCGGAATCATGTAATTTAATGTTGAAGTCTTGAAGAGAAGAAATCAAGGATCGACACTCTTGGACAAATATCTACACGATTCACGTCACAATAGGCATGGGAGTAATGTATTTCGTTTCATAATTTCATATTTTTAGGAGAAACATTGCAATTTATGTTGGTTCGAGGCAAAGCCTTGGTTTAATGGGTTACGATTCATAGAGCTGGATTGTGCCTTGGTTTATTGGCTCTAGGCAAATTGCCGGAACATAGTTTTGAAAAAGTGTACTACTATCCACTGTGATCATAAAAGAGGTTTAGAAATTATGGTTTGGTGTGGTTTAGAGAAGTTTTCTGCTAAAATCATTAAATTATGGTTTGAATTTTTTTAAAATTAAACCAAACCACATTGATTTAGATTAGTTTTCAGATAAAATCAGTAATTTATTACGTTTTGATATGATTTTTAATGCTACTTATAGGACACTTTTGAGTATTTTTTTTAGGGTGAAATACATAAATCTCCTCTGTCTGAAGTTTCTGACAAAAAAAAAACCTTCGGTTTCATTTTAACAAATACCAGCCCTTTAGTTTTATTTTAACAAATACCTCCCCCGAACTTCCGACGAGTGGGTGGTGGCTCTTTTCACCCGGAGAACGATAATGCACGCAATCTTGTGGTACTATTAAGTTTCAAAGCTTCTAATGTGCGCAAAACAGAGGTCTCATATACGCCACATATAGTTTCTTTTCTTCTTTTAAAATTTTTGCCATTTTTTGTTTCTCCAAATCACAGCGGAGTATATCATTTTCTATCGAAACATTTTAAGATGAATGCAGAGATGTTCAAGATGACGATGCTCTATTTACAATGGAACATGGAACGTCTGGATATGCTAGTTTCCTAGTTTTTGGTCGATATGGTTTCGATTGTTGGTTTTTCTGTTCCTTTTTTTTTGTGTTCGTTTTTTTGTTGCTATCTCTATTTTTCTTTTAATGAAATTTGTGGTTTACTATTATTTTGGTATGCAAGATATAACAGGGACTATTTACCAAACAAGGGATGACTACGAATGCAACCTTCTCACCATGGGGTACAGTTCTGGTGGTTACAATTCCGGCTGGCTCCAGTTTCTTGGTGCAAGTCGCTACTATCTTTATCCCTTAACTTTCGGTGGTTGGAGATGCGCTCAATTGTTTCTTCTGTAAGTAATTCTGTCTCACCTTATGTCAGTTGCAGAAATTCTTTTTCTTGTTCTTCTTTATCTATAGTTTATATTTTGTTTTTTCTAAGGATTTGTATCTACGCCTTTTTGCTTGGTATTGTGATTACTTCTTTGTGTTCATCCAAGTTTCTTAATTTAAATGAAATATGATTCTTGCCTTCAAAAAAAATTGCAGCGACCTCAATGGACACCGTCTAAAAAATTAATGACAAGAGAAAAGTCCCTGATACCAGATTCAATTCTCACAAAATTTGTTCTTACATTGTTTTCACAACACTTAGCAGTGCATTTGAAAATTTTGGATATTTATATATTTTTCATCCATGACAATATATTCTTAATGCAGAGCTGCAAGTGTTGTGAGAACGATGCAAGGATAAATTTTATGGGGACTGAATTTGGAGGTTTGGGAGTCTTTGACATGGGCATCTGTTTGTTTGGCTGATTAGTTGCAGAGTTGTGTTTGAAGATGTTTAGGGTTAGGGAGGGCCTTCCACCTGTGTTTGGTTTTAATTCTTGAAAGGAGGCTTCCAGTTTATGGTTAATTTCCTGTAGAAGCCAAATTTGCTAACTCTGGCGTAATAGACGTTAGTTGGTCATATATTGTGCAGGAATCTTCTGGGGGGAGTCCTCTAGGCTCTTTAATTTTCATTTCAATCACACTTAGCTTGTTGCTTCTCGTAGTCGGAATCTAGCTGCGCACTCTCTATTGCCGATTATTCTTGTACTCGTACGTTTATTGAGTCTTTTTTAGGTAGGGAATTGTCATTATAATGCTTATGAATTGACTAGTATTAAGCTTTGGCTTAAAAATAGATTATTATGGTGCTATTTCACCCGATACTATAATCAAATGTCAAGGTCAATAAGCAATCTTGGAATTTCGAAAAATTTAAAGTAATTTATCATTTATTTTTATCAATTTTTTTAAGGGCGGACTAACGGAAGGGGTAAGTATTATTTACCCAAACACCATGGGAGGGTTTTTTTGGTAAGGTTAAAGTCAAGGGATAAGTATTATGTACCCTATACTTTAGGCCCAGTGATAATTTATTATCCAAACTTTAAAACGTGACAATTTAGTACTAGAAAGTAATGCATGAATTTCCCATTGAAATTACGAAAATGACCACATCAACTATTTCGAATTTCGACCAATGCAAGTGGGAACTAGTTATTGAGATTCCGAAAACCAGCTCCTGGTGATATCAAACGAATGCGCTGCGGGAAAAGTTGAAATCAACGCTCGAACACGATGTCGAAAAAGTTGAAGTCGAAGAATCCAGTGCTGTTGTCGGAGAAGATGATTCCTGTTGCGATGACGATTTTAGATTAAATTACAATATAGATTGACGGATCTCCGCAGTTTTATTTGTTATCGTGGAGCGGTGGATGAATACAATTACAATCTTGAAAAGAAGTTTCCCGTTCAGATACAGGAACAACCATCTAGTAATCCTCCTCCTCTTTCTTCACAACTTCACCTTTCCAATTAAGCAAGCTGAAGAGCTTAGCAAAACTAGAGTTTGAATGCACCGATAATCAACCTGTAACTATGAAGACCTTTTAAATTTCATACTGTTTTTTTCCTGATCTAAAATTTAACTTTCGAGGGAAGGAATAAAAATAGAGTACTTTATTATGATATGGGTTTTATTTTTATATTTTGTTAAGTAATGTGATGCGGGTTTTCTTTATTATTGAACTTCTGTGATCTGGTGGTATCCTTTCTATTCTCGATTTGGGTTCCTCATTTGGTTTGGATTCTCTCTTCTGGAGAGAAGATGAGGGGAAAGCTATGATTTTTCATCTGGGCTTTTTGTTTCTCTGCGGTTCCTGTCTCGGTAGATTTGTGGTGGAAAAGAATAGCTTACGGGTGACTTCAGCGCAGTCATTGAAAGGTGTTTACGAATGCGCAACTGGGAATTTTAGTGTTCCTCAGTACGGCGGCACCATGGTTGGGACTGTGGTTTAACAGAAAGTGAACCAAAAGGCATGCAATGTAAGGACTTCGACGAGGTCTTCCGACCCTTGAGCTTGAGTTTTAATTTGTTTGCGTCAATAAATGCTTCCTCGTGACTGATCAATTCTGTGATCTATGAGTTCATGTTGTTTATTAATGACGATTCTTTTTCCTTTTCCTTTGCGCTTTGGCGTTACTATTTCTTTGGAAGTTGGAACTTGTAACTGATCCGGGTCATCTATCCCTTTTCCTCCCTAAAAGTTGCGTACCTTTAGATCCAAGGCATAAGGTGCGCATGTTAGCAACGACACACAGGTAACACCATCATCGTCCTGCGCCATATGAATTGCTGCAATCGTGGCCGCACCACACCCTTTGCGAACCCAAATGAAATACGGGCACGCCGGGGTTATGGTAAGAATCAGTTCACGCTAGCGATTCGCAGCTGAATGTGTTCTCTTTCGTATCGTGTTCCTCGGTTTGTAAATTGCATTACAAATTCGGAGAGGTTTAGAGAAATCAGGGGCTCCACACTACTGTAGAGTGGAGAACTGGAGACGGGCGTGATCGGAATTCGACGTTCTCAATGGTGAATACAGGAATGGTGAAACTCCGTCTCAACTCATGGATCGAGTTGGCGATGTTTAATGATTCTGATCTGGTTTTGATGAAGAAACTGGTTTGAATTTCGAATGGAAAAGAAAAGATGCGGAACACATTCGGATTGAGTTATGTAATCTCCTAACCTCTCCCAGGAGGTACCGAAGATTTGACGTGCGTACCTTTGACACGACGGGAAGAGATATGATAGAGAGACATCCTTGTACAACTCGGCCTTACCATCGAGTTTGCAAAGGACGACTAGTATGATCCATACCAATCCGAGGGAAATCGTCGATGACTGATTATCCATCCAGCTTGGGCCCGAGTAGTAACACTATGAAAGTGGAGATTGCACCGGCGTAGGTCCATTGGCAATGATATCTGATGATGCGCGATCTGGTTGCTCTTAGCTGGAGGGCAGTTCGGATGTTGATGTCTTAGTTGGTCAGTCGAACTACAAGGCAAACAGGGCTCAGAGGACTCGGGGTGGCTTACTCCATGTGATCACTCCGATGCTTAAGTTAATATTCAATGTACGCAAGCTGAAAGTTTATAGCAAGAAGGCTAGAATGAAATAAACCGCACGTCTTTTCTCTCTTACCTTGTCAAAGTTGGAGGTGAGGCCTTTATATAGGCGTTGCTTGGCGTGGGTTTCACGCACCGTGTCCGAGATCTCAGGACTGGTCCGAAGTCCACGGAGGTAGCCGTACACATAGACCAGTCTTAGCGCCTTGCTCGGTCTCCTCCAAAACATTTGGTACGGGGGCAAACTTTCGAGAGACCCGGTAGTGACGGGTTGTGCGTGCAGAATTGGTCGGTGAGTACGTCTCATAGGTTGCCACCTTAACCTCAATCAGGTTGGCAAGCCCTCGAGGGAGGTCTTTTCTCATGTTGAGGTCACTTCGGCTGGTGACGAGGTGCTACAGGTCAATCCTGGACGAGGTGCTTTTAGTCGGCCTAAGTTGTGGTCAAGGTCGCTAGGTCGGTGGAGGAGGCAGGTCACTAAGTCGATGGCAAAGGCAGGTCGCCAGGTCGGTGGCAAAGTTGGATCGTGATATAGAATTCCATCACTTTGGCTAGGGCAAGTCATCGCCTAGGTGGTGTTTGGGTGTCGTCCAACTGTTTTGAGATGCCAACTATCATGATGTCATTGGAGGGTCAAATTCGCCCTCATCAATATCGGAAAGACTTCAAGTAGTTCATCACGTATCGACTAAGAGGGTGCAGTCCACCACCAGAAACTGAGGATTTCAATGGATCCTTCTGAATTGCCGATTCGAAGTCCGATAGCATCGTTCTCACTGCATCACCGAGTCTGATGAGTGAGGAGAGGGCTTATGATCTTGTCGCACTTGGGCTTTCATCATGAAATGATGGTTTACACTGTCGAGAACTTGAACTCTATTTCATTTTCTTGAGAAAAAGATGATGAATAATATATTTTATTTTAAAGTTAATTTTGACATTTTCAATTATCTTAAATCACACGTGAATTCATATGCGTTTCAAGAGTGATAGATTGTGATTGTCGCAATTTAAAGTTCGAATACTAAATTATCGCTCGAGCCACTACCGAGAATTTTGAAATAACGAAAAGAAATACAGCGTCTTCATATACATTCATGTGTCCGTACACTATATAATAAGAATGCTTACACAGCCGGCCGTCTTAGCTCAGCCGGTAGAGCGCGTGGCTTTTAACAACGTGGTCGTGGGTTCGATTCCCACAGACGGCGATTTTGTCATATCTCTGGACTCTGGTCTTTGCGTTTTACCAAAGCAAAGATAAAATGGTCGTAGCCAAATTTGAAATTTCCCTTGTTTACGAAATTGACATCTAGCATTGCTAAGTTGTTTAAAAAGTAAAACTGCGATGAGAGGATGAATGTGGGTCGTAAGTAAGCAACCTATGGAGTATGGACTATGGTGCATCATTGACGCTGTCGCTGTATTTCAACAAGCCAACAGAGCCGTTCTAACTTCCAAACACCAATTTGTGTTGTGTTTATGGTGAGCTACAAGATTTCTGCCTCGCCACTTAACTCTCTATGAAGAAGAGGTAGCATCGTCATTTTGCTTTCTAAATTTTAATTTCTAATGCCTGAAACACCATTGGCATGTTCGTTCATCTGCAGTCGTTTCAGCACTGATTTGTACAAAACGTTGGCGGTGGACCTGGTTTTGTGCTCTGCTCTTGATGCATGCATACTTCCTCTTCTCTATTAGTGGTTTGGAAATGGCTGAATATCATATGCTTCAATGAGTGCTATCCAACATCGACTCACGTGAGAGTGAGACTTCACTTCTTCAATAGCCTTTTAAATTCCCTCCCATGTCCCATCTGTGGTAGGAACTAGGAAGACGCTACGCCCATACCAGGGCCGTCCTGATCAAGAGACAATCCAAACTAAGATTTCACTGTTTGTGTTGATAGACAACAGACGAGGTTAGACTCAGCTGCACCTGCAACTGGTGGACTGGCGGTTGATGTTTTCATTTAATGAATTGAAAACGTCTCCGACTCCTGCTCAGAACCAGATTTGCTGCTTCACAGTTCATCGCAGCCGTGTGTATTGCGAACATTCCCTAAAAACGACAAACATAAAATGTACGGGAGATGTTTTCATTTTCCAATGCACTGTGATTTTGGTGCGAGGAGCAAATCTGAATTATTCCTCGTGGTCGTGGAAAACAAGGTTGTAGGCGGATCAAAAACTTGGGAACGTTTCACTCTTTCAATCCCTCGTGAAAATAACAAAGATCCATTACTAGGATCACAATGACAATCGCCTTACCATCATAACCTTGAGGAAGATGGAAAACGAGTTTGGCAGAAACTGGATCCATCTTATTAATAATAATTTTAATAAAAGGGTAAAGGACTTAAACTTGTGCCTGACATGTTTTTAAAATCCCAAATTTGCCCTTTGGCCATGATTCAAAAAACACTAGAAATCGTAAAAGTGTATTCCTCCATTTTCTTGCCACCGGAGATGGAATTATTTTATTTCATAAAAGATCCTGGTGAATCCCCTGTTTTTATCTTCCAAACCCCATCTTTTTTTCTCTGCATTAATCTCAGAATCGGAGGGGAAATGAAGATAACTTCACAAAATTAGTATGATTGCATTTGTTTTAATAAAAAACCCAAGAGGTGGAACACCAACACAACTACTACAGAAAAACCCCAACCTCCCATAGACCCATACTACCAAACAGAATGAGACCTCCAAGCACCAAACAATACCCCTCCATCGTTCCATAAAACGCCTACCAGAAATGACCAAAAGTTAACAATGAAGTGCAACAAACTAACACCAAATTGTTCTATGAATTTCCACCCTTTACAATTCACGGGCCCTTATTTTAGTAATAAATTATTCCTCAATTAACAAAACCATGGTATTCAACTCCCACATCCACTAAGAAAAGGAATATCGAATCATTATTGAACCCTTCCGGCTTCAATTTAAAGAGGGAAAATAAAGTTCCATTCGCAAAAAAAGATGAAACGAGAAAACCAAACCCTTCCGTTCTAGTCTCAGAACTTGGTTAATCTTGTTTGGCTTGATCATAGAGTTAGCCTTGGAAATTGCATCTCAACCCATAACCTTGAAATAAAGTATACGTTTTGCATCTTAACCCATATCCCGTTCTAGTCTCAGCACCTGCACTTGAACTCTGACACTTCAATCCATTTGTTAAACCACTCAAACCTGTTCTGACCTTCACCAATCTCTCCTTTCAATTGTCTCAAATTCAAACCCATCAATAATGATAACAAAGCAGAGGAGCCCAAAACAAAACAATTAATAGAAAATGAAGGGTAATGAAGTCTTTTCACTGATTCTGTTAGATATAATGGTATCTTTTAATGACAAGGGCTTTCAAAAATCACGGGGAGGTATAAATATTTTATATTAAACTTCAGGGGAGGTTTAAGTCTTTTACCCTTAGGCTCGGTTTGGAAGGAGTATGAATACAAGTATGTTGTAGAGTGCAAAACCTTACTAATTTGTATTATTTTGTATGCATTTGTACTGTACATATTTATACAAATACAAATACAAATATTAGACTCAGTTTGGAAGGAGTACAAATACATATATGTACAGTGCAAATGCATACAAAATACAAGGTTTTGTACTCCTACAAATTTGTATTTGAGACGAGCAAGACTTGCAAAGGCGCTGGATTTCCCGTCAGCACATCAGCCTTTTTTTGTTCCGTTAAACCAGATTCTTATTGCCTCATTGGTCCCAACTCCCACCGCGTCCTTAGGAGTTGGGATTCTCATCAACATAATTTTTGTTGGATCAGATATTCTCAAAATTATGATCAGTCATAATGAAATATGAAATGCAAAAGAAAATAATGGCCCGCCACTGTAAATTGGAGCTCCGAGTTGAACATATATTATATATAGATATATATATATATAAATATATATAAATACATAATATTTACAAGATTGAGAATTTTGAAGTATGTTGTAAAAAAACAAAAGAAAGAAATAGAGAGCTCCAGAAAGAATTCAACTGTCACTATTTACTCTGCTGTACCTTTGTACTGCACTCGGATCGAGGATTTCACGATCGCATCAATGCTGCAAATTATACATGAAAGCCAGGGAGAGCCCTCCTAAGCTTCTAAATAATGCCAGTAGCACTGTTTTGGTTCTTCCACATATCGTTTTCGCTATTCTCTCTGTGCTTGGCATCCATCGAACCATGGTGGGTCAGTCAGGCTGGGAAATAAATATTGTTTTAAAGGAAAAATTGGAATAGCTGGGCATCAATGGCATAGTGTCTCCCCATATGTTACCCAGTGCACAAAGCTGTCAGAAAATTCACTTAGAGTGTCCAAATTCTCTCCAGCAGCATCATAACAAACATCCGTCTCTGTCTGTTCTTTTCCCTGCAGAGTTGTAAGGGAGATGATGCGCTAGATATTAATAAGCTACTTCTGACTAAAGAAATGGAGTTCATCTTATAAATTTAGTTGCAATTTTACTTGACTAAAGAACAGTGCTAATTAAGTTGGGATGGGATCTAAAACGGGTCAGACCATTCATAACATTATTTTTTGATCAATCAGACCATTCATACCATTAACACATACAGAATAAAGTTTATCTAACATTCAACTCATTCACCAGTTAACCCTACACATAATTGATTTTTTTGGAGTCTCGCCATCAATAAGGTGTAATCATATCTTCTCAGGCCATTCCACTATTGCAATGGTTGCAGATATCTGTAAGAAGCTATGTTTTCCGAGACACCACAAGCAGATGGCTGGTCAAGATGTTAAATACAGAGTTTACACTAAAGTTACATGATAGGGCATCCATAAAAAGGTATTCAAGTATCATAGGTGATGAACTGTTTTCTATCTGATGCATGTTGCCACACTACACACGCCCTGCCTATCATCAGGGTCAACAATGCCCTTGCATATCAGGTCCCTATTAATTGACAATTTCTTAACAAAATATGAAATCCCTTTCCAACAAAAAGAATATTTTACACATGTTATTAACAAAATACCGACCTTCATGCTGGAACCATATTCACTTTGAGATGGAGTTGTTTCCATGGTAATTCCATTTGCAACATTCTCTGATGATAGGCTGGCAACTGGAGAGTTTGTAAGGGTAGATCTGCAACAATTGAAAGTATCAGAACCCATCTAAGTTAACCACAAATATATTTGATAATAAGGAATAGACCTTAATTTCGAACCGTCTCAATAATGATTACTGCCAAGAAAAACTTTCACTGTTCTACCAATAGTGAATATCTCTCCAATGCATGTCAAACTTCAAGAAAGCTGCCACCTAGAAGCCTCCTATCAGAAATTTGAGCATGTTCGCATGCACGTGGGTGCACACACATACAAGAGAGTATTTATGGCTTACTTATAGAACCATAAACATACGTTGTTCAAATTGGTTGTTTGAATAGCTTAATCAGAATAACATGATTTTAGCAATTATTAAACATGTATAACTATATAAGTACCAAAAAAATCATCTATCACATTAAGAAAATCAAAATAATTACACAGACCCACTTAAAACTGCACAACTACTGGTAGCTTAACTGGACAAGATCACAATAAAGTTACCTTTCATAGGTTTCTTCCTCACATGAATTTCCAGAGGAAGATAGCCAGTCAAGGTCCAGAAAGTTTGAGAAGCTAGATGCATCCCCATTTTCGTGGAAATAGAACTGATCACTATCAGGACATCGATCTCTCTGCATGTCTGCAAAAAGTTGCCTTCGAGTTGAGGGTGTGAACCTACAAAATGACAACAAGTAAGCTCAACCAGACATCAAACAGCTATAGGAACCAAGTTGAAATGCTGCACATATATAGACAGAATAAGGAGATGTAAAGATATTTTTCTACTTCATTATAAAGCAAAAAATAAATAAATAAATATACATTGGGAACAACAGACAATCCATCAACTAAGAAATAAAACGTGTTTCTTGGCTAGTGTTGAGGAAAAGAAAACCAGAGAAATAAAAAGCTCTTCAGCATCAAATTCAAAGTTAAGAAAGCCAACCTGGAATATGATATATCACATTCACAGGTTGAGATTTCTGGCGTAGAGTCAGAAAGTCCCTTGCTGCCTCCTTGTGTTCTTTCAGGCAAAGCTGAGCTAGAAAGTTTCTTCTGCCCAGAATTTGTGGCTGATGCAGGTATATTGCTTTCACAAAGAATGTTCCCATCTGATAAGGATCTTTTGAAATATGACCTACATAGAGAAACTCAATAATTACTAATCAATAGTTCTCACCAATCAAAATAATATGGAAGAGATGTTTTGTGTGAAATAAATGAAAGCATTAACTAGACATTTTATTGAAAAAGTTCATGGAATCACAACCCTTGTCCTTCTAAAGAGAGGTATGGCCTGTTCCAGTAGAACTACCTTGTAAACAGGGTTGACCTGATAAAAACATCCTAAATAGGATTCACAATCTGCTAAGGTTCCAAACATCTCTGCATGTGCCACAGTCCCATCAAGGGGCTGTTAATCAAGTTGGATTCGCATTGGAAAAGAGACAGAATCAATTAAGTTGAATTTGATAAATTTCATTAAGTCCCATATTGATCATGTCTGAATTGAAGGGATACAGATAAAAACCCAATCTGAGTAATATAGGATGTTAAGATGCCCAATCTCAAATATGACCTACTATATAAAGGATGTTCCAAGGCCCAAGCACGGATCTTGCTAAAACATGTTGAATAAGAAAGATGGGCCCAAAACCACTCCTGAGGTTGAAGCTCTCTACTAAAAGTTTGGGGGTAATTAACCTTAAGAACTAGGTCAGCCCAAGTCCTAGCCTAACCCAAGGCAAAGGCCAAGCTAGAAAGCACAAACTCAATCCAAGCTAATTCCTTGTAGAACTTGAGGCTGAGTTTGAGGTTTGGCCATTTTTGCTATTTAAGTGTATGGTCTATTGTATTTTTCCTATACCTCTTATCTTTATATGTAGACATGGTAAAGGCTAACCTTCCCATACTATGAGGGGATAGCAATGTCCCCACAGTTCCATGGACAAAAAATGTTCTTACCTATCCTTCAATTAAGTAATGCCGGTACTTTTGACTTTTTTACTCTATTTATTTTAGTATGCATATATTCATTTAAGAGGGTATGGCTTTAAATACAACGGATTGGCAAAACAGGATTCATGTAGTTGACTCCATATAGTTGGGATATGGCATGGATGATTATGATGATGACATACTTTTCCCTAGACAAATTCTTTCCCATATAAAATGGTGATCGACCTCAGTATGCTTTGTCCTGTCATGTTGTATAGGATTGTCACAACATAGCAATAATACTTGTATATCAACAGTCCCAGCTCTTCAAGTAGTGAACTCAACCACAGGGCCTTTGATACTACATGTGTCATGGTTCTGTACTCTACCTTTACACTTAAGCAACAATAAATTTCTTTTACTCCATCAGACTGTGACAGAAGATTACCACTGAGAAAATCATAATACCTAGATACCAATCTCCTGTCATCTAACAACTAGGGATAATCATGAGCTAGGTTGAGCTGGGCTTGGCACCTATTATAAGGGGCATAGCTCAGGCCTAGGCCTGGTCCAGCCTACACCTAGGGCCTGAAATATAAGCCCAGGGCCAGCCCTGCATGGGCTTGGTCCCGGCCTATAAATATATTATGTTAAGTATATATAAAATACGTGTTATACTTTGTATAAAATAAAATAACACATACAGAGACACACATATGTGTGTACATGTGTGTCTTTATGAAGATGTCCACCTTCGTATAATCATGTTGTGAATATAAAACTTCCTTTCTAGGATTCCCCTTGAAGAATTCTTAACTACCATGTACTATGAAAAGCATGCATGTATGACAATTGACATTCACCACATATGCAATATCTGGCCATGTCATACACAGATAAAACAACTTATCCACCAATCTCTAATGCATGTCATGATTTCCCAGTAGCCTCCCCCTCTCTAGTAGCACTAATCTTATGCCAAAAATCTTCAAGGTTGTTAATTGGTTTACTTGTGCCTCTGAGTAGGTCCAACATATACTTCTGCTGAGATATGAAAATACTGTCTACATAGAGCAACTGCTATACCATAATATTCATCTTCCAACATTTTGTAATCTTTTCAGTCATATCTTTTATTGAAATTTTGTTTTCATTTCATTCCAATAATACAAGTACAATAACTCTCTAACCTTCATGTCTCACAGTCACCACTATTATCTCAAAGCAAATGGATCAAGCATTGAATTACATCTATTTTTTCAATCATTTGGACCATAAACCTTCTTTTGGATTAAATGTCCAATTAAGCTTTGGTCTTGGAAGATACCTAAAATAGGGGTTCCACCCCCTACAACCATCTCTCTTACTCAGATCAACTAAAAAAATCCCTTGAGAGCTTTCCATTCCATTTAAATTCTGTCATCAAGAGAGAATGGATTATAGGAAAAAGATGACGATGAAATGACAAAAACATCCCCACATTCAATTATAGATGCTTATGTTAAGAAGGCATCTGTGTCAATATAATGCAGTAGTAACTTCCACCTGAGAGTAGGGAGTTGGAAAATAGGAAAAAAAAAATGATTCCTAAACAAATAAATTAGGGGCTTTCCCAAGATGACCTACCCTATTTTAGCCATGCAACAAGAATCTTATAGTCAACGTTAATCTAGAGTCTAGACCATACATTGCCATAATGTAGAGCTCATCTAGATCATGAATCAATGTCTTTGGGGCCAAAATGATGGGGAGAGGAATTAGAGGACTCCTATTGAGCCCCAATACTTTGCCATGTATAAGATTCCTTGGTCATTTGGGGAAACTCACTAAACAAGGCATGCATATAATACATATATGGAAAGTTTACCTATGTTATATACTTGTATATCTATATAGTACAAAGTATAAGTTATGCAACATAAATTATAACATAGGTCAGACAAGATCAGGTTGACTCAGATCAGGCTACCAAGGTTTCATCCCAATCTAGGTAAAATCCAATTTTCAAAGTCCAGCCAAAGCCCAAAAACCCAAGCTTAACCGATGCATAAACTAGGTTGGGACTCTTGGGAAGCCCAAGATGCATCTCCAATGAAAAGAGAAATTACACCCGTGCACAGAAACAAATTCTAGATTTTTTGGTAATAACATTCTGGATTGTAAGAATGTATAGAACAACCGTTCCATAGACAGTTTTATTCGTAATGATGTACCTAGTGTTTTCATCAACATATGTGTATCCACGCCTCCCAGCATTGTAATGCTGGTCTGAATCCAGCTCCCACAGTGCAGGTTTACCCTGTTGTGGTTGGAAGTGCCCCAGGAACCTGCTTGTTCATAAAGCCAAATGCAAATAAGCATATTGATTACTAATAATTGCCAATGAAAGAAAATGAAATAAGATTTAGAAAGAGGGGTAAATAAGAAGGTTATGACTTACACATTTATCGCATCTTGTTTCTCAGCATCCATATAGGCATTGTTGTAGTATCGCTGCAGAGTTCTAAAGAACTCTTGGGACTGGGTTGCCGCCTTCCATTGACCTCTTCTCTCAGAGAATATCTATTTAGGTCACAAATGTATGAAGGATGTGTTAGATATAAAGCCATATAATGTCATATTGAGAAATGGATTAGTAGAGAAGAGTAGATAAATAATTCAATGGATTGATAAATGCAAAAAGGAGAGGACTGGTCAATTACTAAAATGGTTGAGTCTAGCATACAAAGCCTACTCCATCTAGATGCATGTTTCTACTGCTTGTAATTTCCCCAAATTTTCAGTTCCATTACTTAGATATAGTAGAAGCATAAAATGGATCAACTCTTTTGAAGTTAACCAACACTTTCAAAGAATTACCTTGTTGTGTGCAGCAGACCCTCCATATTGAAGTGCAAGAGTGTCGCCCATTGTCTCGTAAAACCGCATTAGCTCATCAGCTAAAGGGGCATCCAAGTCAATTTTTGGCACATCTATAAATCCCAAGGCATGAAGCTGATGTCCTAGAGCTGCCAAGCCATAGGCATATTGTGCAACATTTGTACGATCCAAGCAGTCTATGCAATTTGTCCTGAGAACACCTTTTTGAAACATGGATGGCTTAACCGAATGGTCTCCATTGACATCACTACTATGCTGATTAAGTCTCTTTTCCAAATCATCAGCATCTGCACTGTTGTTAAAATGGTTTGGAGGAGACTGGTCACCAGCATCATCTTTCCGGTAATATATTGAACTGTAAGCACTGAAACTGTAACAAAACCCGTAAGCCAACAAGATATTGATAGGCACCATTTGTCCAGTACTAGTAAAACTTAAAGTTGTCTCTTTTGAGACTATAAATCTAAGGTTTGCCTTGAGAAAGTCCAAGGTGGGGATTGAAGTTTCAGAGAAGAGCCAGCCACTGGCCAAGTTTTCTAGGTCCTGGGGCTAACATCCCATTTATGAATCTGCATTCAATATTCCTGAATCTGGAATTGTTGGGAATCAAAGCTCTGAATGCAGATTTCATGTATCTCTGGTTGCAGCAGCCAAGGAGATCCTAGATTTCAGAGGCCAGTGGTGATAGCACTAATCACTACACAAACACCATGATATTATGGTAAAGTTGATGACCATGAAGTTGCCTGCCACATATGCCTAGTGTGAACCATTTGTAACACATTGCCTTTTGATTGACCAGCCTTATGATCCACTGGAAGGATGTATTAAATTTCATCTTTCAAATGTCAATGGTGACTAGGTCTGGATATTAGAAATCTAATAATATTATTAACTGAACTAATGTTTTGTTGAACTTTACATCAAATGGAAGGTGGACCGAAGTGTACCAAGGTATAGATCTATGCGCTCCGGGCATCACATTGTATGGTCATATTTGATCCATGTTTCCAAATAATGAGGTTTTCCATCAGGTATACCAATACAAAATAGCTAAGGGACTTTTCATGAGTACTCACTCGAAGTAGGACCCCTTTAAAGATTCTTGGGGCTTCAGACCTGGTGTTACTTGACAATAAAAGAAGCCCGTTAGGTTCAACGCATATGCAGCCACTTTGCCTAGAAGTGCCAAAACATTTGTTGCTTTGCTGGAAAAGTAATCAAGTTGTATGCAAGTCAGTAATAAATTCCTAAAAAAAAGAGTGCCAACAAAATAATTAGAAGCCATAGATTTAACATAAAAGTCATGCACCTTCTAGAATGTTTGTGTAGATCCCAATGTAGAAACTTTAGGCGATTCTCCTCTGATAGATCTTTATTGATAAAATCAATAGCATTAGCAAATTCAGCACGGAGGATAGATTCCCGGGGCTTCTTTTCACGTGTCTGTGCAAAGACATATATAATTTAGTAAAAGAATAAAACATAATATACAATTGTTAAAATTCAGATATTGAAGCTCTCTGAATGATTATGGATTAAAACCACTGGTCCAGCAATAAAAAAAATTAAGGTACCTACCTTAATTAAATTCAAAATGATGATTGGGTTCCCATATCTCTTGACAAGATTCTCAAAATGAAGTCTAGTTGCTTCATAATTTTGATCCTTCTTTGACACTGGATGAGAAAGAAATATAAGTTATACAACTAGAATTACTTCTCAAATGTTAGTCTGATGAGTGTGAGACTTACATATGATATCAGGTTTAATATTCAAGCGTGATGTTTCCTGGGACCAGAAAAGTGGAATTGAGCCTCGGTTCTGCACTACAGAACTAATTTGTGTTGGACATCCCTCAGGAACATCCTCACACACAATTTGTTCTGTCTCAACATCATTAGCTACTCTACCCTTCTCATTTACACCTCGTTTCAGATACCTAGACCAAGAAATAAACAAGTCAGCATTATGTTTTTGTTTTTGTTTTTGTTTTTGATCAGCATACAAGTCAGAATTATGTTGACTTTCAACACAATAGCAGATGTGGAAAAAAAATGCTGAAGCTCTTGAGAAGAGAGGAATTTTTTATGTTCTTAATCAAACTGCAAAAGTAGGACATATGGTGTGTAAATCCAGCATTCATTACCACCCATTGGTCATATCTACTACATAAAAAATTAAACCAACCAGATAGCATATATTCATGGGAAAATAGTTGCTAGTATGGTCAATAAAGATTTGTTAGGAACCATCACTTAGTTTGGCTTCATTTTTTCTTGAGGACAATTCTGTGCTAAGGAATATCACATGTTTCCTCAAAAGAACATGGCCGATCTATGATTAACCAAGAGAACATAAAATAAAATTTACAAATCCAAATTTATGAAAACCTGGTGCCAGCATAATGACGTGAACGCCTAGCAATGAGTGTCAACTTGAATTCTTTCCCAGATATAGAAAAGTTAGCCTGAAAAAATAAAGCATATATCCATCAATACAATATCAGACTAAGTGATATCACAAGATTACAACGCTGCATCTATAACTTCTCAAGCATTGTCAGAAACAAGCAATCCTGTAAATACCAAGTCTTGTACACAACTGCCTAAACATTTAGTCCTTAATCATTAAATCACATTTTATGAGATAAATATCCAAAAAATGAACTTCGGGTGTCCCCAACAGGCATTGACCGATATGAAACCAATACTTTTAGTAATAAATTACTCCTGAAATACAAACACAACCACTGCTTTATTAAGTAAATAAATTTGAAGTTAAAGCACAAAAAAGTAACTTGGATATGTATGGCATTTTCCACAAAAAAGTCCAGGATGAGGGAAACAAGCAAGAGAACAATGCAGAATCCAAGAAATTTTCACAATGCAACCTGACTAGAGGAACACACTTGCCAGTAATTCATCCACAAAGGAAAAAAAAAAGAAAAAAAAAAGGAAAAATGAAGGAATTATGAATAAATATGCTACATTAAGAAAGCATTTTGTCATGAGCGGATTAGAGGCAACATCTTAAGCCATCATCTCAAAACCTTTACCTGTTTAAAAAAACCATAGACCAATGCAACTGTCCAGAGAGTATTTTTAAGGTGATTCCGGATTCCCCGAGTCAGGAATTCATTCCAGACGAACATTGTTTCATAAAGTACCTGCCCTGTCTCATGATTACACAAGTTCTTTTGAAGACTACGCATTACGTGATATGAGTAGCTGAAAAAGAAGTCCTTTGTAAGATCCACTGTGCATAGGAGCTTCTTGTATCTATGCCATCAATAAGAAAAACAAAAAACAGAAATACATGAATACACATAATTAAAGGTCTGAATAAAACAAGAGAGATTATAGAACATAAAGCAGTCAATTTTAATAATAAACCTAATAAGAAAATAGTAAAATGTAACCTGTGTCCTCAAACCCTGTAACACCTTGTCTCACTCAAAATGACATATCAACCTCACAACAGCGTGAAGTTTGCCTTGGTACATTTGAAGGAATTGAAATGTCACATAACCTTTATTAAACTGTAATAACTAAAAGGAATGCGGCAATTGGGCCATACAAACAATTATTTAGTACATAATTTTTTTTTTTGCATTAATTTTTGTTTCATTTTTTATGAACACGTCAACTATTGGTCAAAACATGGATCCTTCTTCAAGCAGAAGGGCCAACATCATTGAATTAACACTGGATAGTTTATCACACAAATATTATATTGCTTGAATATTTACCTCCACAGTACACATGCTTTGCGCATTACTAGAAAGACATCCAAAGTTTAGAATATTGGCTCCAAAATAGTAAAGTAAAAGACAACCAAAACAAACACATCAGAACACATTCAATGTCTATACATGTTGGATAATGAATTACTCCAGATGCCAGTTTCTAATGTCTCCTTCAGAAGCACCATAGACATTATACATTTACATAAGAATGGACAAAAGACCTGTTTTCATTCTTAGAATAAGCCACATTGGACTGCTCAGTAGAGTTTGGGAGTGGAATCATCTCGCTCTTGGTGACGGCATATACTGTATGGCCACAAATTGCACCAATCTGCCTTCTTTTTGTGATAAGCAGCATGTAGTAAGGCCCCAAAAATTTAATGAAACCTAAGAACAAGCAAAAAGTGTTAAAATGAAGAGAACAAGATTCTTTTAAGGCATTGAACTAAGTGCTTGCCCTTCAATATTACGTACCAATGATTCCATAACAAGTGGTGACAAACTTAAGTCCACCAGTAGACATGTTCCCTTCATGTATCCGCTTTAGCAGATCAGAGCATTCACCTTCAGAGTATGTGGTGGAATCTTCACGAATGTTCAGCTCAGAAGGCTCTAACCTATCAATTTTTAATACTCTCCATAACGTTCTACTCTTGTCTCTTCCTATCATATAAAAATTCTGTAGCAAAGAAAAAAAAGGCAATAAGAAATTTGTATTTTTCATGAAAATCAATAAAACAAGAAAAACACATTTAGGAGAAGATTTTAGAGGAAAAAATCTCTGGGATCATATAAAAAATGCAGTCATACTACACCAAGGGTGCAAAATTACTGTAAATACTTTCTACCATTTTGTCATTAAGGATACTAACATTAATTTATTAATCATAGGTGTAGTCAAAATGTTGAATAATCGCCATAGTAGAGGTTTATGACTTCTACCAGTTAGTTGACCAACTATGTGCTTAAGGATTTTAGTATTTGTATATACTAAACCATTTTCATATAAAATATCTAATTAAAAGGTTATCAGATCTTTTAATTTTTTTTCTTTATCAGTAATTAAAATTTTCCTAAAATTTCTTCCAGTTACACATGTAAAATTTCTCATTTAATCCTTATTTGTTTACTTTGAACCAAGTTAGTTAAGGTGGCCAGGCAACACCAAGGTGTTTTTGCCTGCCAAAGTCAGTTGGCACCTCAGCGACAACTAGGAATACTTAGGCAACAAAAAAAAGAAAACAAAACAAAACAAACAAATAAATAAACATATACATATTTTACAACAAATAGATATAATTAAATAAAAGTATTTTTATTGGTAAAATTACACAAAAGTATTATGTAATTACATGTTTATTACAGAATACCAAACTACAAATTAAATAAGGAAATGATTTGATGGCAACTTAAGGCTGCATTTGGATGGAGTGGAGTTTTACGTGATAAATCAATGTAAAACTTCATCTAAAGTAAAGTTTTACATCGATAATCAATGTAAAAACTACATCGATAAAATCAACGTAAAACTCTACGCTTTTCGAAACTCAACGATCACTTTTTATGGTTCAATGTAAAACCTCATCGATGTACTTTTACACCGATGACGTTTTACATCAATTCCAAATGCAGCCTAAAGGGGTGCAATTTGCAAACCAGTTGGGAATAGAGCAACTGATTATTGAAGGGGATTCTAAGGTAGTGGTGGGCTGGTTGAAGAACCCCAAGAACGCTGTTTGGTGTTACAAAAATTAAGTTAGGAAGTTCATATGGCTGATAAGGAACATGTCTGTTGCTATACAGTGTGTAAGGAGACCAGTAAAAGCTGTCTGATGTGTTAGCCAAGCAAGGGGCAAACAGGGAAGACTTGTTCTGGGCTCAGTTGTGATTTCTGTCTTTTTTTTACTTTAGGCTGTGTTTGGTTTGAAGGAAAAAGTAAGGAAAGGAAACCTTTACAAAACTTGTATAGGTTCCCTTGCCTTTCCCTTCCTTTCCTTACCTTTCCCTTCAAACCAAACATAGCCTTAGTTTCCTTGTCATCCTTTAGTTTCCTTGTGATTTCAGTCTCAAATCAGTTCATCTTTTAATAAAATTATCATTGTTCATTAAAGATGGCATCTTAAACCTCATTTTCAAAAAAATAATAATGAGATTTTTGAATAACTTCCCTAGTTCAACATAAAGAAAACATAAACATGGAGGGATCAAAAGCCCTAATATTTAGCTTTACACAGACTGATAAGAATCCAAAATGAGTTGCATGGGACTCATATTAATATACAAAGGGGGCATAATCGCTTATTTTCCCCACTAACATGCTTATATCCATACCACCCTCCTAGTTGATCATCGAAGCATCAACACCTAGGTGACACTTTGACTATAGTGAGTTGGACATGTTGATCACAACCAGTGAAATATATTATTTAGAATGTTTACTAGTTTTTTATCAGTTGACATTGTATTATAAATATCAAAAAGCCAAATGATAGTACTTTTTTTTTTGCTTCATAATCCAATGATAATACTGAAAAGACAAATATTAACACTCGGCTTACTATAGAAAACCCCTGCTACACCCAAACACTAATGTAGTCCAAACTCTTTCAAGAAAACTAACAAGCTCATTGGCAGACCTTAGGATCAAGTAGAACCAGATACTCCCAACCAAAGAGCTACCCTATCAGATAAACTACTGGAGATGCCAAGGGCCCAGAGCCACCATCTCTCATCCAGCCAATGACCACCTTAGGAAGTCCTCCACTACCTTTACGTGTAAACAGAACCAAGATGTAGATGAGATGAAGGCCCTTAGTAAGAGATGCACAAACCAAATCACCAAATCCAATCAAATGAGCCTGCAGAATTACCCCTTGTGGCTACCTAATACTATACCTGACAGACATGGATTTAAAGCAACTGTCAAACTTGAGGCTCGGGCTTGATCAAAGAAGCCCTCCGAATTCATTAGGTTCAAACTGGATGTGGAGGGATAAGTCCAATTTTGGAATGACTTGTGATGTGGAGATAAGCTTCTAAGTTCTGCATATCAAGATTTATCCAATATTGCTCTAAAGTATAAACAAAAACACCACAAGCCCAGGAATGCCATGAGACTGTGGGCAGCAGCATTGTTTGGATGCCTCATTCTCGACAAAATAGGAATGACTGGGAGGTGGTTTCCCAAATGATACTACTGGAGAATTTTAATGGGTATCACATTCAACCAGGGGACAGGATTCTAGAGTTTGGATAGCAATCGGATCTGGTGTCTTCTCAGCTAAAGAATTTTATTTATCTTCAGAGAACCCAGGTCAATCTACTTACAATTGGAACCGGATTTGGAAAGCTCATGTTCAACCAAAACTGAGGGTGGGCCTTGGCACAATGGTTTGGTTGCTCCATTGCGACCTAGGTGACCAGGGTTCAAAATCTTGGAAATAGCCTCTCTGTATGTGCAGGGGTAAGGTTGTGTACATTTATCCCTCCCCAAACCCTGCATTGACAGGAGCCTGGGCTGCATTGTATCATTATTTAGCAGATTTTTTTCTCCATTCCACTAGTCATAACTGAGGCATTTAGTTAGTTCATGATTGCCTAAGTCAAAACGACTGGTCACCACCTGACAGCTTTGTATAGATTAATTAACAGAATAATTGAGACAGAGAATAATGGTATCCAATTCAAAATGCTATGATGTGGTCATAATGCAGTTCCTTCAGGAAGCAAGCTCAGAATGGTGGTGAAACCTAAAATATCCAATATTAACTGTATCCTACAAGACTATTTACTTTTGTAGTCATATATCACTTATTTTTATGGATTTGGACTTGAATATAATTAGACTCAAACATGATGATAAATAGGTTTACCCTACCCCACCCCCCACACACTACCTGGTGCCCAAAGATAAAATTCCTCGTTCTGGCCCTGATTGCTACATTACATTTAAATTAGCAGTTCCATTTTCCAATCAATTTGTTATGGCCTAGGCACTGGCTGGTCAACTCTTTGGATGACAGGGCAAAACAGTTAGGCACTGCCTCAAGGCTTTAACTACACTGACTATCATAGCAGTATTTTCATGGAGGATACTTTGAAAACAATCCAAAGAACGTAATGTGATCCCAAACATTTGGATGTAATTATAATGCATCGACAAAATTCAAGAAGCAAGCTGAGAAATTAACTCAATCAATGCCAATAACTTCCGGGAAACCAAGTTATATTGAATAATTTGAATTAGTGATATAGAAAGTTTCTAAAAGTATATTAAAGTCTCAATTTGAGAATACAAGACTCAAGAATAAATAAATTGATTTAACTGGAAATACATGTGATGCTTCAATTCTTCAAGTGCACACCACAATACTGATAGTATATACAAGATAGTCGATTCCTAGGTCATAGAAAATTACGTCAGTACTCAACATAGTCTGCAATAAACAAGCTCAGATTTTTCCTTTTCTATTAGTTTTCTTCCGAGGGGTATATTCTATAATAGTGAATCTCAGGACGGCTAAGAACATTATCAGAGCCTATCATGTTCTAAAACAAACTTTTATGTGTTAAAGTTTCCAACTTGAAGCAAAGAGAATTCAACCCTTGAGAGAAAAACGACAAAAGAAAATTCTCAAATTTTCATATAAGAAAAAATAGCGAGAAAAATCAAATCACCAAATAAGATTTCATCAAAGAACAAATATATCTGGATTCTGGACCAGGTGAACAACAGAATTTGATCAATAAGAACAACTTCATAACACCCAAGCAACTTAGTTCTACAAATTTGCCTTACAGAACCAGCACATAATAGCAAATTGAGCATGTCTCCTAAACTGAACATCAAAATCAACATCACTATCATAAAAAATCGAGGAATTCCCAAGGCGTTCCAAAAGATCGAACCACCAGACCAAATCAAAAGAAATCAAAAGAAATCACCAAAACTCGTGAAAACATATTACCGATCGAGTCGCATATAACCGGAACTTTTGCAGGTAACCAGTGCTCGGATCCGGCTCCTCCTCGATCCGAGCCTGCGGCTCGTTCTCTGACGCCATGGTTCGTCCGGATCCCGAGCCTCCCAGGCTCGGGTAGAGTCAGAGGGGCATGCAAGAGAATAGATCACCGGAGGAGAAGAAAGCTCCGAAACCCTAACACGGCTACGAAACTCGATTGCTCCAGATACAGCATTTCAGCCCTCTATTACACCTTCCGCAACAACATCTCCTCCTCTTCCATTCACCAGCCAAAGCGCGATCAACCAACCAATCCAGCGCGACCAAGAGAATATAGACCGTACCAACAAAAGATAACGCCACAGAAAGAGAAATATGAAACCAGCGACGAAGCGAAGAGAACTTCTTTGTCTTGACAAAGCGAGCTTTTGTCTTGAAGGCAAAATCGATTAGAGATTCAAACACAGTGTAATTCGAGACAGAAGCTCCTCTGCCCTATAAGGAGCTTTCTGCGCGTGTGAGAAAGAGAGAGATATCTAGAAAAATTGCAGCATAACAAAAAAAAAAAACCTAAGCTTTCTATGTGAGAAATATATGGTCACAAAGCAAGAAGAATTGCTGTTCTTCGGGGAGGGAGAGAGAGACATAAGGGGGAAGGAGAGTTACTCAGATCCTCAGAGCGAACGAAAGCCACAGCTTCGAAGACCGCTCAATCCTCACACACAAAAATACAAAACAAAAGTAAGAAAATTTTGATTTTTCCTTTTTTTTTTATCTAGCTGTTTTATTACCGAGAGTCCGAGACCAAAGATGAAAAAGAATCAAAACAAACGTGAACAAGAACACTCGTTCGAACTATTAACTATTAACGTTGTGTTTGGTTTGAAGGAAAATATAAGAAAATCTTTACAAATTTTGTATAAATTTTCTTATATATTTTTTTCCTTTTTTTACTTTTTTTTTTCAAACCAAACATAACAAATTTCATTTTTCTCTCTTTCTCTAATCTTTAATTTTTAATAATAATAATAATTAATATTTTTTGCTGGTCGAGTCGTTTGGATAGCAAATCTAGACGACTCATGAATGTTCCACGTAACAGTACTGCTGTTGGGGCACAACGTCGTCTCCCTAGCCTAGCTATTCATTCCCTATTTCCCTCCCTTCTTCTTTGGAAAAGGTTCCGCGCATAAGCCCATGCCACGTGGCAACTTGAAACTTTTATAAGAGTTCTTTAAAGATTAAATGGGTGTTGGCCGTACGATTTCGCTTTTGAAAACAAAAATAACTGCCACATCAACTGCCACAATTAATTTTGATGACGTGGTAAATAATTTTGTTTTGAACGATAAAACCATATACGTTGGCGAACACCCTCTAAAAAGTCTCGAGTTAAAAGCTTCTTTGGGTTAATACAACAGTGTTGTGGTCCAACGAGCGCCATCTCTCACTGAACAAATCAAAAGCACCATTACGGTGTTCGTCAATCATTGGCTTTGAAATTCAGAAAAGCCTGACGAATAATAATTTCTTGTTGAACGATTAAATATTCGATAAATAATAAGATGGTGGATGTTCGCTCATTCATGAGTTCGGATCTGCCGATACCGTTGGGCACATTACAGATTTACAGTTTTGTGCCACCTGTACTCAGCACTATGTATTATGGATAAAAAAGAGGGAAATTATTACTGCAGTGAAAAGAAAAAAGAAAAGGTAAAAATGGTAAAACGAAAGTGGTATGACAACTGACAACATTAAACCAGTCATTACCCATAGCGAGTTGCGACTCGGACGAGTTGTAGCGGTTCATGTCTCTTTGACTTGATCTTCAACCCTGTACCCCAGGCACCAGGTGAATTCCTAAGACTTTTTACTTAAAATGGTCATCAAATCGGCATATCCCTTCCCACCAAGTAATGACATCGTTTTGAGTTGTGACTTGCGATAGAGACAGGCCTTCATATGAGTTCTGTACACGTAGATTCTGAGATGTAAACGGCATAGATGATATACCAAAGGGGTGATATTGTTGGAGTTGGTCCATCGTTTTTAAACTGGTCCAGGTCGTCTACCTAATACTTCTCTTTGGCCAAATCAACTCCTACGATTTTTTACCAAAATAAGAAAATTCGTAAGATTACGCTGATATATCATCCAAACTGTAATTTTTTGTATTACCATTATTTGCTTGATAAATTGAAATTGGCATATTCTAAATTTGTAAACCGATGAATGGCTGGGATCATTTGATCAGATCATATTTGTTTTTGCTCAGCTCGTATAACGATGATCGCCAATAAATGGTTAATCATTGGATCCCATCCCATGCACGAATGTTCGTTCACCTATGAGCCCATTTGAATTCAATTGGAGAGCCGTCTGATTCCCACTTGACTCCCGCAATCGTAGGCGATTGTCCTCCTGGCACCTTCCACCAAATTTATTTTGTCCTTTTCCTTTGGCTTGTTTATTTTGTTTTTCTTTTGCCGGAGAGATGTTAAGATAACTCTATTGAAAATATTTCCTTAGTTAGGTCCCAATATATAGTTATTTGTTTCTGGTTTTGGTATGGGGACTATTAAAAAAATATTGTTGAGAATTAATGGAATTGGGATCAGATCATCTCAATGGGAATATACCTCACCTCATGATGCAGAATTTTCTTTAGGATAAAATATAAAACCTCCCCCAAGTTTTTTTGACAATCATAAAATCTTCCCCTATCTTTTCAGTTTAACAAAGTCCTCCCTGTAGTTTTGAAAAATCATGCATTTATCTCTCTTGTATCGTTGTCTTTCCTTATATCTATTAATTCAGATATAGATTCATTAAAATACTTCAAAATACTATTTATCTTCTTCTCCAAAAACTAAGGCAACATAACTGTTCATCCCTCCATCTTTTCAACTCCCTCCACTGAGTTTTTTTTTTTTATTTGCCTTATCTTGAACTAAGCATCAGTGCATTTCTTATGAGTAGTAGCCAAATCATCCTTGCAAGAACAACCTGATTCAATAGAAATTTCAAATTCATCATTAGTACTCTTCGATCTCAAATGACAAACCATGCAATCCTTGTCCACTTTAACCGAATGCACCTAATTTCTGTACACCACTTTACAAATCTACCCCAACCGAACAATCTATCGTCAAAGAATCATGGCAATGGCCCAAAGTCTTCCAATATCGAGATCAAACACGTTGGAGAACCTATGCTCATCATATGACCCACCAATAGTGGAACCAAATTGGGAATGCCACGACCAATGGAGAAGCAGATGCTTCCTTCACTCCTTGAGTTGCTTGCAACAACAAAACGACAATGACCTCCTTCTTCTAAATCAACATGGGAGTGAGGCTTCTTTATGGTTTCCATTTCCAAAACCCAAGACCTAAAACTTCATGTAAAAGCAATGAAGCGCTTAAGACTCTACCCCAAAGGGAGAGCATCAGCATGAAAGCCCTCAAGTTTTAAGTTTTGGAGGTCTCATCCTTGATCACTTGTTGCTTTAGGAGCAGGATAAAGGCAAAAAGACAAAAAAAAAAAAAATCCAACAAAATATGGAATTGCAAAGATTGTAACAAGTAGGTATCTAAGCAGGTGATCACTTTTCTCACCTCTCATATTGTCGTTACCTAGTAACGGACAGAGAAAAAGATGTGCAAGAACTTCAATTTCTGTAACAAATAAATAGTAGGCTACAACTAGAGGATTTGAGAAAAACTTTAATATATAAAAGTTTTTGATTTCTAACAAGGAAATTTGGATTTAAGCCAAGACACAAACATTGTAAGATGAAAAAAAGTTAAAAAAATGGGGGTTTTGTAGAAGATTTGAGGAAAATGTTTCAGAGAGAAAGATAGCACTGAATATTTGTATATATTTCCATGGAATGATGAAAATTTATAGCATACCAAAAACGGAAAGAAGTATGTTATCATTATATCATACTGACCACAAGGAACAAGTAATTTATCATTATACCATACCTATGGCCGTTTAGAAGAAAGGCCATGGGTCTGTGATGGAAATGGCAAAGAGTAGGGTAGAGTTTAGAAAAGATAGAGGGATGAACCACTAGGTTGTCTTTGCTGCCTCTGGTTCTTAGTTCTTGGATAAGAAGATGAATAGTGGTATGCGAGTATTTTAATATCCTAATATAAGGGCAAAATAGGTATTTAAAAAATAAACACATTAAATCAGCTCTTTTTGTATGGGACAATGGAAGTAAGTGCATGGTTTTTCAAAACTAAACTTAGGAGAGGTTTTTATATTTTACCCATTTCTTTAAGAGGCACAAAATAGACTAATTAATTAATTCTTAATTGAAAACTTCATTTCTTGCTATTCCTCTTTCTCGGGACAATGCTAATGGTTCAAATTTCTAATTGGAAACCAACGCGTTCTTTGATCTTCAATGCAAGTTATGGCTTGCAAGCTTCTTCGAAAAATAGTTACTTTGAAGTTACTAGAATTTCACTATCCTTCTACGTCTTAACTACATTAACACGTAATATATATATATATATATATATATATATATATATTGCTTAGTTTTGCTTTGTGGCTTGGATTTAGGAGAACACAATCATATTCCATCTTTACTCAACCAACCAATAAATTGTTGAGCTTCTGTTTGTTTGGCTGTAGATGGGGCATAACTTCTTTTTTTCCAATTATCTGTACTGTGAAATTTGAATTATAGTCGGCCACCCTTGATACGGTCAAATGTTTGTTTTCTGCCCCATTTGCATGGAAAAGAACCCGGCCCATGGATCAGACCGTGTCTAAAACTGCAAATAGTGGAATTTTGATCATTTTCTTCATGAACATAGCGTACGCATTAAGTGATTGAATGACGCCCTCATAATTGAGGCCCCTCTGCGAAGCCATCCCGTTCAAGTCAAGGGGATTGGTTAGGTTACGTTGTCTGAATTGTTCGTATGGTGATGGGAAGCCAGAAAGGTCGCTTTTGATTGTTGTACATCTTCTCTAATTGTTATACATACAAAATATAAAAGTTTGCACTCTTATATATTTAATACAAAATACAGCTTTTTGCATTTGATATATTTATATTTGTATTATCGTCAACTGATAATTAATGGTGGTTCTATTAATGGGATCCTTTGATTCATTAATGTAAAATCGACTTTGGGATCAAATTTCGCTGCCACCAGGATTTGAAGAATTAAGGGGATGGGAGAGGGATGTTGTGTAGCTCCGTAAAATGACCAAATTAAATTTGCTTATTTTGTTCTCAGATCCAAGAGAACAAAAGAACCTAATGCTTCTTTGGATCAAAACCCTAATTGTCAATTATGCAGAAGAAGCAGAGTTTTCTCCTCTTCATGTCAAATGAAGAAGATAAGAACAAATACGGCTATAAGAGTAATTTGGATATTTAAAAACTTAATATGTCACATGATGTGTGCATAACCATTTTTCAACTATTTTGTGAAAGTTTGGAAGGATATTTGCAAATTTTGATAGTTTAAATAGTGAAGTGACAGGGTCCACATAATATAAAGGGTGTTTTGGAATTTATCATTTTTATTTATAAACGGAGCGGGTTAGATCCGAGATGACTTCCAATGCACGTTAAAAAGTTGGTGACATCGTGTTTTAATTGGACTATTTTTGGTTTTTGGAATATATTATTCTTCGTTTGGATCCGGTGTAAAATGTTATCCGTGTAAAAGTACACTGATTTTTACATTGAACCGTATAATAAGTGACCATTATATTTTGAAAAGCATGATAAAAAAGTAT